GGAGGAAGGTGTGGGCCGGCCTGCCCAGACCACAAGGCAGGCTGGGCAGGGCAGGGAGGAGGGCTCAGAGCGCGGGGAGGAAGGCCTGAGTTCCAGGACATGGGGCAGGGCAGTCACCAGACCAGAGCCCAAGTTCCCGGGGGGGCCAGGAATACCAAGTCCAGACCACTGGACTTTATTCTGGAGACTGACGATGCCCGGGCGGCACCTGGGCAGGAAACCATGAGGGAATTCCTGACGGCAGTGGGCGAGTCCAGGGGCTGCAGGACACAGTGGTTCTATATGCCAGATAAACCTGGGCCTCATCCCACAGCCCTGAGCACAAGCTGTGTGAGCTCGTGTGAGACACGGTGTATCTCTGAGCCTCCGCCTTCTCCCCTGAATGGTTCCCGCTCCTGGGGCCAGGGAATGGTTTGGGGCTCTTCCTGGCTGTGGTCAGGGTGACCAGGTGTGGCCCCACAGGTTGAAGATTGTGACTGAGAGCATGGGAGATGTAAGAGAGAGAAAGGAAAAACTGCCGGGTCTTTGCCTCCACCGAGAGCTGCTGGCATCTGTCACAGCAAATGCCAGCCTCACGACCCACCGGTGCCTGTGGGGTGCAGCGCACAGGCTGCCCCCCGCATCCAGCCTGGTCAACAGGAGCCTCAGGGTGTAGGAGCCCACGCGGGATCCTGGCCCCAGGCTGGGAACCCCTAACCCTTTCTCAGCCCCTGGGATGTTTCCTTAAAACAGCTCTCAGGAGCTAAGGATGCCCCCCATTTCTCATGGAACCTGAGGCTCTGCTGTCCTCAAGGTGGGTTTAAGGGCTCGCTGGACGCCAGTGAGGGCCTCCAGGCCCAGAGGACAGGTGTGGGAAACACCCCTGGGCCCTGAGCTGAGCCGACACAGGAGGTTTCCAAGATGAGCGGAGTCCAGAGCGATACCCAGGGCTCTGCTGACATCTGAGGCCAGGCTCCGCCTCTGCTGGTGGCCCTGGAGCCCTGGCCAGTTAACAGGATTAGAATGTCATTTCAAGGGGCGCCTGGGGGGGGGGGGCTCAGTCGTTAAGCGTCTGCCTTAGGCTCGGGTCATGATCCCAAGCTCGTGGGATCGAGCGCCGCATCAGGCCCCCTGCTCAGCGGGAAGCCTGCTTTTCCCTCTCCCACTCCCCCTGCTTGCGTTCCCTCTCTCGCTGGGTCTCTCTCTGTCAAAATAAATAAATAAAATCTTAAAAAAAAAAAAAAAAGAATGTCACTTCAAGATGCCCATTGGTCCCGCCCCGCCCCGAGGCTCCTGGCCCTCCGGCCCGCGGGCTGAACCTTTGAGGTTGGATAGTGGGTTTCCTAGGAGGCGGCGCTCACGCGGAGTGCAGGGGGCCGTCCGCGGGTGCGCGGCGGGGAGCGCGCGGCGCCCCACACCGCCTCCTGGCGGCCGCGTGCGGAAACGGCCCGGGTCCGCGCTGGGATTCCCGCACCCCAGCGCGTGGGTCTGGACCCCGGACGCGCGGCAGAGAAGCGCTCCGAGGAACTGTGAGGCAGCCTTTACTTCTCGCCGTGGCCTGGAGCCCTAGGCGAGCTGCCGCTGGGGTGCGCCTGCGCTTGGGGGCTGCACCCTTGCTCATCGCGCGACATTCCAATGAGGCTGACCCCGGGGCCTCTGGGGTCTGAGCGGCCTGGGACCGCCTCCGCCAGCTGCTGCCACGGGCCGGGGCCGCGGACTGTGTCACAGCTTCTGCAGCTGTGCACAGCCGACACAGCAGGACCCGCCTCTCAAGGAAGCCCGGGCACGGCCCCTACCCTGGACACCCCGCAAGCCGCACCTACTGTCGCTTTGCCGATGGGTGACTCAGGACCGTGAACCTGAGCCTCACGAGCCTTCAGGCACGGACCCATACACACGGTACTGCACACACCTATGCACCACTCACACACACACATGGACGTGCATACAAGCACACACGTCTTTGTCCTTCCACATCACATACACACAAGCACACACAGACACACACCCCTACACGCACATGCACACACAGCAATACACAATCACACGAACACGCGTGTACGGTGCGCAAATGTGCAAACCCAAACAGGCTCACAGATGTGTGCACTTACACACGTGCACACACATGGCCCTCACTAGCCCTGTGGAGCTCCAGCTGCTTCCTCTGCCACCCCCTGCTGGCTGCTGGCTGGACCCCCTGGCCCCAGCTGACCCAGCTATGGGGCCCAGACAAGGCCACCAAGACTGGTGCTGGGTGTCCCGATCTGAAGACATGCCTGGTTACCCCCTGTGGATGCCCAGCTCCACACACCTGCCTTCCACTTTGAGGAGGGTGTTACAGAAGCTGGGTGAAAACCTCGGCTCCATTAAACCGCCTTTTGGACCTTGGGCAAATTGCTTCTTTGTTCTGCACCTCAGTTTCTTCATCTGAACAATGGGTTCATATCAGAGCATGCATGGTGGCTGTGCAGTTTAACAAGATCTTCCTTACCAAGCCCACAGCCTGACTTCTGGAAAGTGTTCAGGAAGTGTGGGCTCCTGGCCTGAAAGGGAATTGTAGACTTTTTTTCACCAGTGGGGAAACTGAGTCCAGGACAAAGCAGTGATTTGACGCAGCTCCACCAGCGACTTCACAGGGGACTTGCACTCCTGCCTGGCTTGCAGTGGCTTCCTTTCTGCCCACCTTGTGTAGCTGGCGCCAAGAGCCCTGCAGCTTTGTGTGGTCACTCACCGCGCGGCTTTCATTTTGCTGCCCCAAGAATTCCCTTCAGTTCCATTCCCATCCAGAACTTCCCAGCCCCCAGGGAGGAAACCACAAACAAGATTGTATTACTGTAACTGGAAGTGAATGGACTGCTGGCAGTTCTAAAAGAAAAACAAATTACCTGAATAGTTTAGATGGAGTCATAGAACGTCTTCAATTTGTAGCTACATGGTCTGCCCATTCACCACTCCATTGCCCGGACTCCGCTGTTGCCCTGTTGTTTGGACAACGTAAGAGCCTTCAGATCACGGAAAGAGACAAAAGCTGTCCAGATGTCGTGGGGCAGTGGGTTAGCCCTGGCCTTGGAAGGCCACCCGTCTGGTCTTGGCTCCAGGGACGTACCTTCTCTAGGGATGAACATAGCCCCAGGCCTCCCAGAGCTTAGGGCAGGTGGGGGCTTGACCCTTTTGCTTTGTGATCGGAAAACTGAACATTCAGCCTTCACTTGTTGTTTGGTCTAGTGGGTGCCAAATGCCGGCTCTAGTTCTGCTTTCCAGGAGGGTCTTCCCTCCTTCTCTCCTCCTTTTCAACATCCTCTCACGCCTCACAGCCCACCTCCTCCAGGAAGCCCACTGTAAATGCAGCACCTGGCTCTCTCTCTCTGAACTTGTGGAGCCTACAGTTCCGACCACAGGCTCTTGTGCTGAAATCTAGTCTCCTGTTGCCACCGTGTAGACCCTAGTGGTGCCTGTTTATTTCCGTGAACCCAGGGGCTCCTTCTGGAGGGTTCCCTCCGGCTGCAGGAGTACTCATGCTCAGCCAGGCACGAGGCAGGCCTGTGAGTGCTGGGAAGTCAAGATAAACACCCAGGGCAGCTTCCAGCCAACCACGGAGGGAAACGCAGTGAGACCCCCCCCCGTGTGCCCACCAGCGTGGCTGCCGTGAAAGCCTGAGAACCCACGTGTTGACAAAACGCGTGGAGCAACTGGAGCTCTCTAACTGCAGGGGAGAGTAGAAAATGGCACAACCATTTTGGGAGACTGGCAATTTCATATCAAGTTCTAAGTACACCTGACAATCACCCAGCAATTGTACTTTTAGGTGATTAAACGAGAGAAATAAAAAATATGCCCACAAAAAGACTGGTACATGAACTTCAAGGCAGCTTTATTCATAATATCAAAAACTTAAAAATGACTCCGGGGTCTAACAGAGTGGCATTGCATTTAGTGGCATACCATTCAGCAATTACAGGGAATGGAGCGCCGAGAGCTACAGCACGGATGACTCTGAAAACATGATGCTGAGCGAGAGACCCGGTAGGACACATACTGTAGGATTCCATTCATATGAAGTGCCTGGGGTAGATCCACCCACACAACAACGTGGGTGGATCTTCAAATCATTCTGTGAACTGAAAGAGGCCATTGGAAAAAGAGTACATATTGCATTCATTTATACAAATGTCTAGAACAGACCCAGCTAGGATGTGAGGATGAAGTAGGAACGGTGGTTGCCTCGGTGGGAATGCTCCGTAACTAACTGATGGCGGTGGTTCCATGGGGTATGCATTTGTCAAGTCATTCAACTGTACGATTACACCTCAATAAAAACGTTTATACGTGACCATTCCGAAAGTTACCTGGACGAAGAATATGCACAAAGAACACAGAAATGTCCAGAAAGCACAAAGCAAACCACAGATCGCTTGCGATTCCTCCCTCCCCAGAGACAATCCTTTTAAAGGCAGTCTTTGCTGTAGGCGTCCTCGGGGACTCGGGATCCGGCCGCTCCCCAGCTCTGCAGCCTGCAGGTGACCGCCCTGCTGCGCGCTCCGCCTGCCCCGCCGCCCCTCCAAACCCGCTCCCAGCCGGAGGGCCCGGGGTCCTGCGGCCGCAGCCGGGCTCGGCCCCTGGTCCCGGGTCCCTCCCCGGCGAGGTCCCCTCCACCGCACGCCAGGACTCCGCTTGCCCCCCGGCCCTGGGAGCCCCGCCCCCGCCGCGCCTTCCTAATCAGCCCCCCGTGAACAGGCCGTCCCGGAGTCGTCCCCACGGCAGGAGGGTGCGTCTTCCGTGCTCGCCGCTGCGGACCGGCACCCGGCCGGTCCCCGCCGGACAGTCAGCCCCGCCCCGCGGACCGCGCCCGCCGGCCCCCCCGGCCCCCCCCCCCGCCGGCCCCCCCGCCGGCCCGCCGCGTCCCCAAGCTGACAGGGGCGTGGCCGCCCTCCGGCCCGAAGAGCGAAGGCGGAAGTCCCGCCCCGCCGGCCCCGCCCCCTCCCGCCCGGCTTCCCGTGATGCCCCGCGAGGCGCAACGTAGCCGGAAGCTGGTGGCGGCGGGGCGGGCGGCCGGCGCGCGTCCACGGAGCAGCTTGCGGCGCGCCCGAGCCCGGCGGACCCCGGCGGACCACCGGCGCGCGGGATCGAGTCCGCACCCCGCCCGGTAAGCGCGTGGCCCGAGGACCCGGCCCGAACCCCGGCCCGCCGCCCCTCTCTCCTCGGAAGCCGCCCCCACCTCGGTTCCTGGAACCCTCCCGCAGCCGCGGCCCCGCGCACCCCGCCGCGCCCCTTCCTCCTGGGGAAGGGGCGCAGCGTCCAGACCGACAGCGCAGGGCTGCAGGCTGAGGGGCTTCCGCCCGGGGAAGCGAGGGTTCCGTCTGGCGGGTGCGGGGGAGGCCGGTGTGGTCGGGAGCGGCAGCCTCGGCCTCGCCTGGTGCCGTGGACGACCCCCTCGGGAAGGGAGGGGGAGCCGCCCGGGAGGGGCTCGAGCGGTCCTTTTCGGTTCCCGTGGGATATGCGTCCCGTGTGCCCTGCTCAAGGCTCCCCCGCAGACCACCAACGCTGGGAAGGGATGTTGCTCGTTTGGGGCAGGCCTAAGCCTCCTGCCGCGCTCTGGCCATGACAGTGCGCCCGTGGGGATGGCCGAGGGGGCGCCGAGCTCTCAGGCTTGCTCTGGCGTTGCTTCCCAGGACCCCACCCCGCCCAGGTTCACAACAGATCCGTGCGTCCCGGGAGAAGGGGCTGTGCGTTCGCACAGGTGCTCTGGATGCTCCCGGTGGTTTCTGTGTGTCTTCGTCACTGTAACAGCCCCGGGGACCCAGTCCTGCCCCTCAGTCATCCCTTTTAATTAATTTATGATGCCGACAAGATCCCAACTTCAGGACCAGGCATTGTGCAGTTAACAAGTGGCCTACGTGGTGAACTAAGAAAAAGTGTCCTCATTTGGTTCAGCGTTTACTGAAGTTACGTCCACTTGCAGAAAAGCTGCATTTTACCGTCCGGGTTTCAAGCTTTAAAGAGTTCTTGGATGATTTTTCAAGATAAACCGTAGTTGTGGTTTTGAAAGTTAGGATGCATTTTCAGGTATCAGTTAGCATTTCAGAGAGTTGAAGGTTGCTCACATCCAAAACTGGTCCCCAAGGGGAATTTCTTTAAAATCAGGTCGTTTCCTTTTCATATGTTACTTTGCTATTAGTTCTGCGAACAATTTGGTCTGCTTAGTTTTATTTTACACAATTAGAAATTCGGAGCATGCTCAGCCCAGTGCTGACTTCTGTTTGCCGGTGCCTTTTGACCAGAATGTGAACCTCTGAGGGAAGGCACAGTTCTCTGGAAAGAGCACAGGGCTGAGTATGGAGACTGATCGGGCAGGTGTGCGTGTCAGCCCCGCACAGCAGGCCACAAGGGACTCTCCAGTGAGACAGCCCTGTGCAAAGGGCTTTGTGGATTCAGATCCAGCCCGATGTCTCTCCAAGTGTGTGTGGTGTTTACCTGTTGATGCCTTTCGTGTGCGGTGGCATAGACGCTGAGTGTGCTGAAAGTATCCCACTTGAACGAGTCCTACCGGGATGATGTATTCAGGTGTTTGCTCTTGAGATCCGATGGTTTTGGTAGACTGTCACATGTAGCACGGAAAACTGCAGAGTGCAGAAGAGCCGCGGGTGAGCTCTGAGTTTTGTCCATCAGTTGTAAAAAACTGAAAACCAATGTTTATTTGTTATTTCCTTCAGCTAGCCTCAAAGTGGGCACTGATGAGCACAGCAGTCCTGGCCTTCCAGATTTAGAAAGTTTGGTTGTGCAGAGAGTCAGGGCTTCCACCCGTGGCTTATTTCTGCGTACTAAGATTACAGGTGAGGTACAGCCAGAGATCCTCCTGGAATGTTTACACTGCACGTCAGTAGAAAGCTCCAGCTTCACTATCAGCAGAGAAGCTGGCCGCATGAAATGTCCAGCAGCTGGGCAGGTGTCCAGTTCTGAGCCACTTACAGGGTCCCTGCGTGTTCTGCAGTGGGTGCGTGTTGCCATGAGAGTTAGGGGCAGCAGCTCACAGGCTCCGTTCACGGGTGAGGGAAGGGCAAGCTTCAGGGGGACACACGTGCAGTCGTGCATTGGTGGTGGTAGAGGTGGCCTGGGGCCAAGTGGTGACGGGGTGTGCAGGACCATGGGGTTGCTTTATGGCCAGCACTGTGCAGCTCCCACCCCCTTCCTGCAGCTTGAATCTACTCTGTCACTTTTCCTGGTCATGAATCCAGTGGGCTGTTGGTTGAACTTGAGCTTTGCCAAAGCTAGGAGCTGTGTAAAGACAGAAATGGTTTTTCTCTTCAGCCTGAATTAAGGTGTGGTACCCCGGCAGTGTCCCCATGAGGCACGGTGGCAGGTGTGCCCTGCTGGGCTCATGCCGTCTGTCACGTCCACCCTCTGTGATGGGCCCATGGAGGACATCCCTGTAGGCCCCCCACAGACCGGCCTCTGCACGTATTGGTTGGGGCTGCCGCTTCAGCCCACACCACAGGCTGGGGAGTAGAAGGACGATGTTGCATGCAGAGAACGGGGGTTCCCTGTCTCCGAAGGTTATCGGCCCTAGTCTGAGGTGTTGGCCTTTCAGGTGGGCAGTCAGATTGAGCGGCCAGTCCGTGTAGGTTGTAGAAAGACCATCCCTTGCTATGGGCTTCATCACAAGACGGGACGTTATATAAATTACGCAGTGCAGGTGGTATATGGTGCTTAGGCAAAGCGGACACCAGTAATTATGTTATTCTTAATAATTGTGTTGCCTTTGGTTGGAAACATCCAGACGGCTGTGGGTTTTTCTTAGTGTGTGGAGGACAGATTCTTTCTGTAAGTGGTTCCCTCATGCCGCCTGTAGTGAGCAGTGGCGTTACCCCATAGCTTCCATCCAGGCAGCTTCGTGGGATTTCTCTGAAGCTGTGTGTGCTAGTGTTTTTGCACTTGCTCGTTTTCTTGTAAAGTAGCCTACTGGTAAGTTTTAAAACTTTGTGTTTCTCCTTTGCAGCATCATGGCCAGCCCCAGAACGAGGAAAGTTCTCAAAGAAGTGAGAGTGCAGGATGAAAACAACGTAAGCATCTGCTCTGCTCTGGTGCTTTGAGGTTTAGCAAGCCTCTCAGAGCTCTCCCTGTTACTGTTAGTCTCGGGCCAGTCTCCTCTGCTCCCTCTTGGGGCCACCTGTCGGGTCTTTGGGGTCCCGGGGCCCCAAGTGCCTGGGTGAGTCGCACGTGACCCTCTCCGCAGGTGTGTTTTGAGTGTGGTGCATTCAATCCTCAGTGGGTGAGTGTGACTTACGGCATCTGGATCTGCCTGGAGTGCTCGGGGAAGCACCGTGGGCTCGGGGTGCACCTCAGGTTAGTGCCCTGCCCCTGTTGCCTCGAGGGCCTCCTGTCGGGTGTGCGGTGACGGGGTAACGCGCGCCACCTTGCCTGCTCTGTGCTTCTGTCAGGGGAAGTGCCTGCACCAGATTCATGACCTAGGTGGGGGGCTCTTGGACGCCCAATGCTAATAAGTAGGTTGGCTCTCTGGTTTCTAGCTTCGTGCGCTCTGTGACCATGGACAAGTGGAAGGACGTGGAGCTGGAGAAGATGAAAGCTGGAGGGAACGCGAAATTCCGGGAGTTCCTGGAGTCTCAGGAGGACTATGACCCCTGCTGGTCCCTGCAGGACAAGTACAACAGCAAGGCCGCGGCCCTCTTCAGGGACAAGGTAGGGACCGGCTGACCAGGGGTGCCGAGGCTCTGCCCGTGGGAGCTGTCATTCTCCTGTGGGCTCTGACCTCCCTGCAGAGGCCGTGCGCGGTCTGTCCACAGATAGGACACGTGGGCCGTCTTGTCCCACCTGGGGGAAAGGAGGTGGCACGTTGTTAGCAGAGGTGAAGAACGGGCCTTCCTCCCCACCCTCGGGGAGAGTGTCGCGTGCCCGCTCCTCTGTACGTGGTGGCTGAAACTCTGCCGAGGATGGCAGTGCGTCATCTGGGGTCAGAGCCACTGACCAAGAACTCGCCAGCACCGCTATTCATTCAGAGTGAGACCCTGTCTCGGTGTTGCCATGTGGCAGAGAGCCCCCAGCCCATGGCCACTGAGCCTGGGAGGGACAGCAGACAGGACACGCTGGAGTGGGTGACGTCTCTGTCCTGGGCTGTCTAATGCCTGTGTCCCCTCGGCAGGTAGCCACTCTGGCTGAAGGCAGAGAATGGTCTCCCGAGTCATCGCCTGCCCAGAACTGGGCCCCACCCCAACCCAAGACACTGCCGTCTACTGCCCACCGGTAGCTATTCCTCTGGCCTCTTGTCTGGCTTCAGACTGTTCTGGGCCTGGCCCTGATCTTAGCCGTAGCTCAGGACCCCATATTGGTGTGGGAACAGCTCCCATTGTGAGTTGCTCCCGAGAGTCAGTAGGGACAACAACTCTGTAGGTCACTGAAGCAATACAGGCTCTCAGTAAAAATGCAGCCCATAAGCTGTGTCTAAGGTGAAGGGAGTACCTCCCCATTTCTCGAGAGCCCCTTTGGTGCAAGTCTTTCCAGACACGCACCCGTGACATGTGTGCATCTCTGTAGGAAACATCCTAGCTGAGTGTTGTTTACCTCCTGTGTCCTCTCTGAGGATTGCCCACCCCTGAGTGCAGGTATGATGCGGACAAGCTGGTCCCCCTGCGTCCTCTTGCATGTCAGAGGCTGGTGTTCTGGAGTGACCGGTCCAGAGAAGGCTCCCTGTTTGCACCGTGGGTGCCCAGGGACCCCCACCCCACACCTGCACTGTGCATTTTATGTGGAAGGTCCCTGGACCACTGTTGATGTGCCTGCTTCAGCCTCTGTCTCTCCAGCCTCTCTGCTGTCTCCCTGCCAGCATGGGCAGGCGTGGAGCTGCTGTCCGGCCCTTTGGGTCCGGAGTGTGCCCGCTTGTTGCCAGCCTGAACCTGAGCTGCCTTTCAGACAGACTTGGAGGCCAGCTGGCTTTAGGTGCTCCATTCTTGGAGGAGCCCAGGTGTGACCAGGTGGATGTAACAGCATAGAGGCCTGCACAGATCCCTCAGGCACGTGCCCGTCCTCTGTTGGGCTCACTGACCTCTGACTCTCCCTTTCAGAGCCTCTGGCCACCCACAGAACTCGACCTCCTCCTCAGACAAGGCATTTGAAGACTGGCTTAATGATGACCTGGGCTCCTATCAGGGGTGAGGCCACGGGCAGCAGGGGTTCAGTCCCTCAGGGCTAGGGCCTGCTGCTTTCTGTGTGCAGGGCACGTCGAGCCCGCACGCATCACGCGGGTGCTGGTTGTGGCAATCCCTGGGCCAGCCCAGGTTTGAAGAGTGGTTTTGAGTGGAGAGAAAAGGAAAAAAGAATAGTTTTCCTTCTTGAAACCAGCCTGACCTGTAAGCGAGTTTTGTTCTTGGAGCTGTCGGATTAAATCATTTGGATGCTTCTTGTAATAATAGGCTGTTGGCTTTGGGTCTTGCCAAGGTTCCCTGGCTAAATGCAGCAGGAGGGTGTTCTCCGGTGAGCAGAGGGGAGCCTGACCTGTGTGCCCGCCTTGCTGTGGATGCACGTCCTCCCCGGGGCCCTCGCACCTCTGCCCAGGGTCTGGGTGCCTCCCGCCTCAAGGCTTTCAGGAGCATGCTGCTTTTTGTCTCCCTGTCAGGGCCCAGGAGAACCGCTACGTGGGGTTTGGGAACACGGTGCCGCCCCCGAAGAGGGATGAGGACTTCCTCAGCAGCGCTGTGTCGTCCCTGTGCTCGGTGAGGACCGCGCCCTGCCCCGCAGACCCACAGCCGGCCCCGCCTACGGGATACCTCCCCTTTCCTTCGGCGAAGTTTTCTCTGGGACCTGCCTTATTCATTCCGGTCCCGGCATGTGCAGTTGCTTGTGTACTTTGTTACAGAATGTGTGTTTCCCACTAGCCAGGCGCGTTTCCTCCAAGCGCAACATGCTGTGTGGTGTGTGCCCGGCCCTCCTGTGCTGCCAGAGCACTGGGCACAGCCGCCCCCGGTGCCCTGCCCAGCAGCCCCGCTCTGCAAGCCGCATGGGCTCTGGCACCTCTGGGTTTGACGCTCGCGGCCTGCGCTTTTGTCCTCAGCTTCAGGTCAAACCATCGTTTTCCAAGGAAACTTACTGTGTCTTTAGACGGTGCTCGTTCGTCGTAGCACTGTCTGCGATGGTAGCTGCTGAGCCCCAGGGGTCTGGCCAGTGACGGCTGGCAGCAGCCTGTCTCTGGGTACCGCACGCGTGAAAAGGCGAGGAGACGTCCTCCACGCCAACAGGACAGGGTCTGCAGTGCCCTGGGGGGACGCAGCAAGTGCAGGAGGAGCAGACGTGATGGGTGAGAACGCAGGAAGCCCCCGGGAGCGGCCGTGTGTCCGCCGCCACCGTAGGGCCCTGCGTCCTGGGTGCAGTGGGAGGTCTGCTGAGCATCACTGTCTGCTGTCCTCTTCTGGTCCGCGACACATGCTGTTCCCGAAGTGATGGAACTTGTCCGAAATTAAAGCTGCTCCTCCAGAGCCGCGGGCGTTGGCGGCCCTGGGCAGCCAGGGTCCCTTCTCCAGGTCCCACCCAACGTAGCGCGTTTGTGTTAGTGTCGCCCTCCTACAGTCTTTAATTCACCAAAGAAGCTGAATGTGTTTGTCTCCTGAGCTAAGGGTTCCTCGCTTCCTTGGGGGGGAAGAGGCTCTGCTGGGAAGTTGGGGTTTGAGTGAGACGTGTGTGTCCATAAATAGTTTCAGTCGGCTTTGGGGGCTTCGGGGGAAGACCTCAAACTCAGAACAGGTCTGCCCACAGACTAGGTGCCAGGCCCCAACTGCTTCGAGGGGAGGTAGGAAGGACCAAGGGCAAAGGGAAGAACCGGCACGTGCGTGCAGTGGAGGTCCAGTCAGGTGGTGCAGCACAGACGCATGCGCTGGGCCGGATGCCGTGGCTGCCAGGAGTCGGGGGCATGGTGTTCAGGTGTGCCCACGGCTTGCGTGCCCGTTCTCTGTGGGAAGTGGGGTTGCTGCTGTTGAACGGGACCCCGGAGGTGGCCATCCTACAGATTTGGGGGCAGAATCCATCAGCCCCTCGCTGAGCGGTGGATGGCATGGCAAATAGCCTGCCTGTTCGGCCGCCTGTGGAACCTCGACGTGGCCTCTCTGTTGCTTCTTTCCAGGGCTGGAGCAGTTTTACCACCGGAGCGAGCAAGTTTGCCTCGGCCGCTAAGGAGGGTGTGAGTAGCCCATCCTAGTGCCTTCAGGCCCACACAGGCTGCTAGTCTGGGGCCTGGGGCAGACAGGGGTCTTGAAGGGGCTCCGACGAGGGGTGGAGGGCGTTTCCAGCCACAGGGTCCCCTCTCAGGGCCCCGCCGTTCACTGCTTCAGTGGCAGGCATCCGTCTGCGTGTCAGAGATGAGCTGTGTGCAGAGGGGTGCCGCTCTAGGAGAGGGGTGTGCCATGCTCCACTGCAGCATATTGTGAGCTCTGCAGCCTGAGTGGTGCTGCCAGCCCTCCAGTTTCTGCTGCTGGGCACGGAGCAGGGTTCAGGCAGTCGGACTTCTCTCTTCCCCTTACCTGCTCCTCTGCCCAAGTGAGGGAGGGTTGGGGATTTAGTCAAGACACACGGGTGGGGAGTGGGTATGATTTTGGAAAGGAACAGGCAGAAACCTATCTGAGGACATTACCCCGGAGGGAAGACTGTCAGGGCGCCCGGCAGTTTTCCTGGTCAGCGTGGCCTTGGTGAGGAAGGTGACCTGTAGAAGGAGGAGCCCAGGGCAGGCCCAAGGGGCCGCCCGGCCAAGTAGGCCCTGGACAGGAACGTTCTGAGGGCCAGATGGGTGCCTGTAGCTCCACAACCAGCAGGAACCACGGGGCTGGCTCTGGGCCCAAGTGAAGGCGCTATGGACCTCTCTCTGTGCTCCCCGCGGGCCACAGTGCCCTGCATCCTCCCCCATCTGGCCTGGCCTCAAGGGGCACCAGGCCCTATGGCACCAGCGCTCTGGCACGTGGCCTCCGCTGGTTCTCTCCAGGCCTCGTCCCTGGAGGGCACCGCCAGGAGGTTCAGGCGCCTCTCAGCGGGAACATCTATGGCCAGGCCTTTTCTGTCTTTGTTTATGAAACTGTTGGGGGTGCTGTGCCAAGGTGAGCTGTGGGATGGTCCCACGCTGGGCGCCAAGCAGGTGGCATGGTCTGGGCCACGGCAAAGCCCACAGCTGATGGGGCTGGGGTGGCCGCCCCCTCCTGGGGACCTGCTTCCCCTCCAGTGGAGCCTGGCCTAGTGGGCAGCTTTGCTGGGCCCCTCGGAGCTGCTGGGAGGTGGGAGGCCGTCAGGAGACAGACCTAGGATTGAGTGCTGAGTCGGGATGTGCAGCTGGGGGTCTGGTGTCAGGACCGGTGACTGAAAGCCATGTTTCTTTTCAGGCAACCAAATTTGGATCTCAAGCAAGTCAGAAGGTAACAACGGAAGCTTCTGCGTTCTGTGCTGTTAAAGTTCCTAATTCTGTCCTGTCGTCGTCGTCTAGATGCCTGGTCTGCCCTCCTCGGGGCCTGTGCTTGGGAGGGGGTGTTTCTGTGTGCATCACTTCAGGTGCCTGTGGGTTAGCAGGGGGGTGAGAAACTGCGCCTGTAAGGCCCCGCAGGGCTGAGGGCACCCGGACAGCTGTGAGGCTCGTGTGCAGTCGGCTTTCTGCACCCGTGGGCGGAAGGAAGCCTGGTGCTGCCAGGGCTGCGGGTTGTGGGGTGGGGCAGGCCAGCCCTCCGAAAATTCCCGGTTAGTTTCTCTCGTGGGTGGTGGTTTGGGGTGTTGGCGTTTCTCTTTTTTTTCAAATCTTGGTTGGTAGCCCTGGCAGTCCCCAGGTGGTGGCAGGGCTCTGGACCGCCTGTGCCCCGGTGGTGGGGGTCAGGACACAGGCCGGAGGCAGCGGCCCCGGAGGCTGTCCCGGGAGGGAGGGTGGTTGGTGTTCGAGGACGGCCTGGCCCTGTCTCGGGCTCCTGACCTGCTTGTGCGTGTGTGGTTCTGGAAGTTGTACGTTGGGAGGGGAAAGCAGTGAGGTTTGGTGGCAGTAAGTGGGCACTCCAGGCCACTTTTGAGGACACGTGCTGGGGTGCCGCCACGAGAACGTGAGGCTCATTAACCCGTCTGGAGGTGCTTCCTGGTGGTTGCTCACCGCTGCTCCTGCCCGAGCTCGCTAGCTCTCTCACTTTCTCCCTCTCTCCCCCCCTCCGCCCCAACCCGCTCCCTTGCTGTCTGGGTAAAGTTTTGGGGCTCCAAGCAGCAGCCCGAGATGGTAAGGCCCCAAGTCTGTTCTTGTGCATGCCTTTCCCCGTCTCTGTGCTGACCACGTGCTTTGCCCTGCGCTTCCCTGGACCATGGCCTGTATGTGTCCTCGCTTAAGTGCCCTCACCCTCGGAGCTCCCCTCCAGCCTGCTGGGCTCCCGTCTGGCCCATCCATGCTGTTCAGGGACCCAGGACCCCGGCGGGAGGCCAGGGGTCCAGAACCGGGGGGGCACGGCTCCTGGGGTGCGAGGAGCTACTGGGCAGGATTTTCATTTCACGGCTGGATCACCTCAAGCTCAGTGAGCAGAAGGGTTATCCCAGCGGTAAGGTGCTGACAGGTGTGCGGTTACCCTGTCCATCGAGGCTACTGCTTCCTGGCGTGCTCCCGCTTAGCTGCCCATCGTCCCGCCCCATCCCACCCACCTTGGCTCTGTGGTCTTTCCTGAGTCAGGTGCCCAGTGGTGGGCAGGTGGGCTCACACTCCCTCCAGTGAACAAGGGTGCACCCGCCTGTACCCCAGCCGAGGGGGGTGGCATGTGACCTGCCGCCAGCACGCAGGCTGTCCTCACGGGATGGGATTGCGTGGGCTCCGATGGGAAGACCCGCGGGTGGCCGCGGGATTTGCTGCCACTCTGGGCCTCTTCCCTCTAGAGCGGGTAGGCCTGGGGCAGTGTCTCTGGCTGCCCCCCAGCCAGGGTGCCTGGGGGGCACTTCGTGCAACTGCCTTGGGTGCCATGGCTGCCGGGGCTGGAGGGGGTGGGGGGGGGAGTCCTGGGTGCTGGTGGGCCGCTCGCCATCTGCTGCCTTCCCTCGGTCAGCCAAGCTTGCGGCCACGTGCTGACCAGTGTCCTGGCTGACATGCTGCCCGGGCTCACCTGACTTCCCTCTTGTCACACAGGCTTCGGAGCTGGGCCACAGTCTGAACGAGAACGTCCTCAAACCTGCCCAGGAGAAGGTAACGCAGCCGACACCCTGTCTCTCTGTCCCCACCCCCATAGGCCCTCGTTTCAGGGGAGCAGCTGGTGCTGGGGGTTTCGACTCCCACCAGTGCCGCGTGTCCCAGGGGGCCCCCACCCCCGGGCTCCGGGAGGCCTGGCCTCGAGCTCTGTTCCTCAAGAGTGCGGCTGGGTGTGGGCAGCACGGAGGCGGCTGACTGAGCCAGGGAGGCCCCGCAGCAGGCTGGGGCCTCGGGGGGCGGTGCCAGCCTGCCATCAGGAGGTTGTGGCTGACACAGAGGCCCCCCCGGTAGGATGCTGCATTTTCAGCAGCTTGGGCTGGAGTCGGCGGCCCCCACCCTCTCTTCCCTTGTGGGGAGGGGGCCGCCCAGGGGGAGACAGGGTCACACACAGCTGCCGCCACGGGTCTCTTCAGCGTGTGCTGATCTTTCTCAGAGACGGGTGACGGTGGGCTTTCTGCCGTTCGGCTGACAGCACTGTTTTAACCCACGCAGGTGAAAGAGGGAAAGATTTTTGATGATGTGTCCAGTGGGGTGTCTCAGTTGGCGTCCAAGGTAGGGCAGGCCCCACCTGGGACTCGGGCGCAGCCGGAAGCCAGTCTCCACATTCCGGGGCGCCCGCGCCGAGAGCAAGAAGGGCGTGGGCTCTCCGTGCCCCTGTGCGCTCGTGTGGCCTGAGTGCCCGCTGAGCGGGGGTGAGGAGGCTCAGCGAGACGCTCCTGTGCCGGTTGCCAGAGGAATATGGAAACAGCTTGGCGGGGGCAGGGTCTCTCACGTCTGCTAACTGTCGCTTTTTTTCTACCCTCATTCTGCTGCCGCTGCCCTTCCCCGGTGAGTGCGACCTTCCTGACATGCCGGTGGACGGCTGCCGTCCTCCTGGCCTCCTCCAGGCGGGTGTGCGTGTGCGTGGCCCCCTGCTTCCCAGCCCACCGCTCTCCGCACGGGGAAGCCTGCAGGGAGCTTTGCGCGCATGCTGTTTCCTCGAGCTCCTGAGCCCGTGGGCCTGAGCCTGTCTGTGCTGTACACGTCTCTAAGCTTTGCCGGGACTTTGAACGGGACACCGTGTGTGTGCCGTGTGTGAGAACCCTCCCTGAGCTGCCGCCTCCCGTCCCCTTCCAGGTCCAGGGGGTTGGCAGTAGGGGTTGGCGGGACGTCACCACGTTCTTTTCTGGGAGAGCAGAGGACCCGTCGGACAGGTACGCCGGCTCCCTGGGTTTCTTCCCACAAGGCCTCTGGGAGGCAGTCGGCATCCCCGCTGGCGGACGGGCGTGTTATCCCCAGGAGCATGGGGGTCACAGCAGCCCCCAGAATCGTAGAGATTCCGGCCCTGTGGTAACTGCTGCTGCCCAGGGCAGGGAGGGAGGGGGGAGGCCTGGAGGGGAGGGGCACCAGCGCCGATCCCCGTCTCCAGTCTGGGTAGGTGGGGCCGGCGGGGGCACCTCAGTGGCCCTGTCCCCTCACTCACCGTCCTGGCCTGTCTGCTGGAAGCCCGGTCGGCCTGGTTTCCAGTTCTTCAGCCGCAGGGTGGGCGGGGCGGGAAGTCCGGCCATGGTGGGGGCTACCGCTGGATGGTGGCACGTTTGCTGTGCTCACGGGCACAGGCCACACGTCTTCCTGATGCGCCATTTGGTGGTTCAGGCCGCGTGGCTGTGCTCATCAGGGTACAGCTCCGCCGAGGAGCTCTGCGGGGTCCCCTCTGTCTCGACAGTGCGGGAGGGCTGACGCACTCAGGGCTCCCCTTTGCCCTCAGTCACTGCAGAAAACCAGTGTTGTATGTTTTCCTTCACAAGGAGCTCCCTTTTGGGGTGGGGCTGACCTAGCGGGGCTCTGGCAGCAGGAGGCCTGAGTGCTTCTGGCGGGTTCTGTGCCCTGGACTCAGGTGGAGCTGCACGGGGGCCTTTCCCAGGCCCCGTGGGCGTCGAGGTCTGGGTGGGGCCTTTGCAGCCTGGGGCAGGACGCCAAGGGATGGCCTGGTGGCTCAGGCCACTGTTCAGTCTCTCCCTGTCTTCCCAAGGCCCCTGGAGGGCCAGAGCTACCAGAACAGCGGTGGGGACCACTCCCAGAACCGCGCCGTGGACCAGAGCTTCTGGGAGACCTTCGGGAGTGCCGACCCCAACAAGGGCCACAGGTCCCCGAGCAGCGACAGCTGGACGTGCGCGGACGCCTCAGCCGAGAAGAGGAGCTCGGACAGCTGGGATGTGTGGGGCTCGGGCTCCGCATCCAACCATAAGAACAGCGATCACAGCGACCTCGGGGAGGCCTGGGGGGGCGGTGGGGAGGGCAGAGCCACGACCGCCAGGGAGGCCGTGCCGCCCGCCGAGCCGCTGGACGACGGCTGGGGCGACCAAGACTGGTCGCCCCACTGAACCCCGGCCGCTGCGTCGGCCCCGCGTCTGCACTTTGCCCCCACACTCCTGTCTGACCCCAGGAGCCGGCCGCAGCGGGAAGACAGCACCTTGGTGGGAGCCGGGGGTGGTGCTGCCGGCTGGCTCGGGCGCCGGCCCCGCAAGGCCACGGTGCGGGACGGTCCGTGGCTCTGCTGTGGTTCTGGGGCAGCCCGTGGGAACCTGAGCGGGGTGACGCGGGGGGCAGAGTGCTCCCGCAGGAGGTGGGCCGCGCCGTCATTCCCAGAACACCCTCTAATAAATCCTCCTGAGTGCCGTGCTGTGTGTGAGGCGTGCGTGCTCCCAAGTGTCGGGTCCAGGCTCCTTCTGGGCCAGCCTTCCCGCGCGAGGGGCGTGCCCAGCTCCCTTCCCGGGCCCTGCTTCGCTGCCGGGGCCACTCTCCCGTGTCGCCTTTCTAGGCCTCCGCACACGGCCCCAAGGCCTGGGTCCTTCGCCTGCGCTCTCACTTAGCCGTGCCCGTCTGAGCCGAGGCGGCACCCCCAGGATGCCCCAGACGGCTGAGGAACAGGGTTGTGAAAGTGAAGCGTAGGGAGGGGGAAGGCAAGCTGGCACGCTCCCTCCCGAGCCCGGGTCTGGAGGTGCATGGCCGCAGGGTGGGCTTTTCGAGGAGCTACGTGGCGTCTGGCCCTTCCCAGCGAGGTGTGCATTTGTCGGCCTGGCTTGCTGCTGCGTCCCCACTAGCACCTAGCTGTGCCCGCCGCAGCATCCTGCCCGTGCTCTGCTCCCAGGGCTCGGCTTGTGGTGACGGATGGACCCCCTCGTGCGCCCAGAGCCCCCCTGGCACTGAGCACCCACGGGCTGCCACCCCCTTGTCCGTGGTCACGGTCGATCCTGACAAGGAGCCTTTCTCCACGTGAGCCGTGGCTGTGGTGGGTTCTCCGTCCCCACACCCCCTTCCTCTGGCTCTTAGGTTGCTGTCAGCCGCCCTATGACCAGGCACTGCGCGTGCCTGGGTCCTCCTGGGTGATTTGTGCCGGCCGCGTCCACCACAGCCTCTGGCTGCTGCCAGCTGTTCGCATCCCAGGACAGGCCCTCCGAGCGCGAGCGCTGGTGGCTGCCACTGTCGGTCTGTGGCGTATCCGAGCGGGCGGGCACCGTGGGGCCGTCTCAGGACAGCCCGCTAGCGCTCAGCTCTCCCTTGAGGAGGACCCCCCCTGGAGGGACAGGGACGCCCAGTGTGGAGCAGCTGTGTGTTTGCCGCTGTGAGGGCCTCAGTCACTGAGCACCAGCCGGCTGTCCCTGAGGGGAGGGGAAGCCCCCGAGCAGGCGGGGACCCAAACCCACGGTCGGTCTGCCTGCCGGGGCCAAGTGTCCGAGGGTGATGGTGCTCAGGAGGAGCCCAAGCGTCGGGCATCCACGCCCCGTCGGGACAGGTGCTTGGTTTCCACGCTGGGGCCCTTACCCCGTCGGGATGGGAGCACGTGGATCTGCTGGCAGCTTGTGAGGCTTTAGTGGTGCCCAGGCTGTTCTTTCCTGTGATTTCTCGTCTAGAGGCCACGTTCCGTTGGGAGTGAGTCGCCCTTTGGTCTGGGAGTCGCCTTCAATGCCGCATGCAGTAATTAGGGTGGCGTTGAGTTTTTAGACGTGTGCTGGCAGAGGGCACTCTGCTTCCCAGATCCCCTTCTAGAGTGTGCTGGGACGTGGTGGCCCAAGACCCCTCACGGGCAAAGACGGGTGCTCTTGTGCCCGGGATGGGACGCAGGGTCTTCCACCTCTGCGAGGTCCTGGGGCTCGAGCATCTCCCTGGTCCTCTCCTGTACAGCGGTCACTGGGCACAGAGCAAAGCAGAGTGATCTGGGTGAACCCCACGTGGTTGCAGGTGGCACAGGGCTCCTGGAGGTGCAGGTGGGAGGGCAGGGAGGTCTCCAGTGGGTGTCTGCCTGGGACCTGGGGCCAACGGCAGCTCTCCTGGCTCTGGGTAGAAATGCTTGGAAGCCGTGTGTATCCTCCCGAAGACACTTGATGGGGAAGTAGTCGGAGGCTGGCAGAGCCGGGGGACACTGAGTGCACATTCCAGAATGGAAGCTCTCTTCCTGGGTGGTCTCCCACAGGTCATCCTGTTTGGGTGGGGCGTGGCCCTGAGGGGCTGGATCCTGCACATGACAGACCCAGGGTCAGTTTCTGGCCGAATCCAGTGGTCCTCACCCCCTCTGGCCTTCTGCATGTGGTCCCACCCAGACCCCAGCTCCAGGACGCTGGGCCGACCAGGGACTGGTGTGACCATGAGATGAGGCCTCCTGGTTGCTGCAGATCCCTTGCCAAAGATGCTGAGACTGACCAGCAGGTGCACTAGGCCAGCCCTGCTTAGCTTCCTTCTCCCTCTGGACTTCCCCGTGACGTTCCGCACTTCCTCCTGGCCGTGCCCCTCACACGGGTCCGCCACTGCCACCCAGTCCAGTCATCCGGTGGGCCTCCGTGCCTACAAGTTCCAGTGCTGCGACTGTCCTGGGATCTCACACCCAGAACTGGGGCCTTCCTGGAGCCTTACCCTCGGCCCGGTCTGGTGTGCACCCCCCGTCCCACCGGCCCTGCTGGGTCTGACCCAGCTGATACGGTTGGGTGGCTCAGCCCCTGCAGCCCTCCTCACAGCTGGGGACCAGGGTAAGTGGGACCTGTGCTTGGGGTGGGCTCAGGGTCGCTACCTGCACGCTGCCGTGAGGGCCCATGATGGGCGACGGGCCGGCCAGCACGCACGCAGTGCCGTCCTTTCTCAGTGACCCGGGTCAGTCCTGACACTGCTGGCTGGTCTCGGGCTTCCGGTCTCACAGGTGATGAGCTCCTGCTCTGTGCAGGACTCCAGGGTGGGTACACAGGTGAGGGGTGGACAGCGTCCAGCTAAGGGTGCGGAGGAGTTGACTGGCTCGTATGTGTGGAGGGTGACGCCTCGGTGGGGTGCGTGTGAGTGCATATGTGTGTCCCGAGCGCCCACGAGCCACGCCTGGACACTGTCCGGGGCATGATTGTCTGTGGTTGCCGTGCCCGGCGCTCTCTGCTGGTCCGCACTCGGGCGTGTGGGTCCCAGGACTGGGCAGGTGCCCAGCACCCTGGGCACGGCGTCCATCAGCACTGGTGTCCTGGTGTCCAGCCGCGGGTCCTCAGGCTCAGGCGGCTCCCGGGCTATGGCAAGTCAAAGAGCTCCATCTGGCCTACGGCCTGAGGCCCTTCCCAGCCCCCAGGAGGGTAGCTGGGCTCACAAAGCCGTCAGGACGGGGGTGGGGTGCGGGGAGCCAGAGGGGCACTCGGGCACCTGGAGCCAAGCCACCTTGGTTTCCTGGCCCAGGCTTGGGACCGTGTGCCCCCACCCCCCAGCCCTGTTCCCAGGTTTGGGGCTGGTGGATCGGCAGGGGTGAAGCAGTGTCCTCCCTGTGGCCAAGAGTGCAGGGGAGGGGCTGAGCCCCCCTGGGAGTCGGGCAAGGGCTCCCCTCCCCCTGCAGCATCTTTGCCCACCGAATGCTGCCAGCCTGCAGTGAATACCATGTCTCAGACTGTCGGCTTCTCCCAGCCCAAGAGCCCCTGCTACACCTCCCCCCAAAGTGCCTCTGTCTGGAAGCTGGACCCCCCGTGGGACGCCAGCCCTGCTGGGCTCCTGGTTGTCAGCTCCCCTCACCCCTCAGCTGCCTTGGGTGGGTGGTCCCGGGTCAGGTAGGTCCAGGGGTGGGGCTGGCACGGGGTCTGGTGTGGTCAGTGTCCCCGCCCAGGCAGCAGGCCCACTGGCTGGGAGGGCCGAGGAGAAGCCAGGAGTGCAGGGGAGGCTTCCAGGCGGGGGCCAGAGTGGGCCTGGGCTGAGGCTGGAGGAGTCGGGAGGAAGTGATGTGCCCCCCACCCCCAGCCACCAGAGGCACCCAGCCCGTCATCTGTCCACACGTGATGTCCGTGGTCCCTGAGATGCCTGTCCCGTGATCGCTGCTTTGGGGCCAACCCAGAGGAGTGAGGCATAAAGGTGTTTGGTGCCGTGGGATCCCTGCCCTGCGGCGACGGGGTCCTTCATGCTGGGACTCTCTGCCCCCACTCTTGGGCTGTAGCTGGGAAGGGGGGAGAGCCTGGGGAGGGGAGGAGGCCAGGGCTGGGCCAGGGGGTGGGCTGAGGCAGTGACGTTAGAGGGATAGGGACCTTCATAAGCCCTCGCCTCTCGGGGCTGCGGCAGGACCAGAGCGGGGCGAGTGGGGACCCAGGGACGCCACCCTCGTCCAGGTTAGTGACTCGCCTCTGGTCTTGGGGGGCTGGGGGGCTGGGGAGGGCCACCAGGGGTCTGCCTGGGTCTGTGATCAGAGGATGATCTTGCCTTTTCAAAGAGGCCTGGGGCATTGAGGGCAGACTGTGCAGAGGGTGCTGGTTCACAGCCATGACCTCTGTGCCCTGGGAGGGGTCCCCCCGAGTCTGGTTTCTGGGGAGCGAAGGGGTCTGGCTTCAGAATGTGGATCAGGGGGGGACTCGGGGGGCCTGGAAGGTCCAGAGCCCGGGCACTGCCCTCCAGCCCCGAGGACGCTGGCGAGCTCAGCACCTCTGCACCGCGGGGCTGGCCACCGCCTCCCTGGGGGTGGCTGGGGTCCCGAGGGGCTGTGCTGTGTGTCCCTTCTGCACTGTCCTCAGAGGCAGCCCCTGAGGCTGTGTGCAGCTTGGGGATGGAAGGGTGACCCCACAGGGCTCCCTTAGGACCCCAACCCTACTTCCAAGGACCTCTCAGCCCTGCGGAGAGGCTGACTGGGGCCAGTCCTCAACCAGGACACACCCTCCTGGGTCTGGCAGAGGGCAGCTGCGTGACCCCCAGGGGTTGTGCTCAGATGGGGTCCCAGCTCTGATGCCCCTTGGCTGCAGACAGGGCTTGCCCCTTCCTGGCTTCGTTCCCTCCCCAGGCCCCTTGGCCCCGGCAGCAGCTGTCCCAGTCTGTTCTAATGATGAGCGAGTGACCAGGCCAGCAGTCAGGGCCCTGTGCTGGCCTGTGAGAATGTCCTGAGGGCGGGATGCAGGACCAGAGGCTGTGGCTGGGCCAGACGCACCCGGGGCTGGGCAGGGGAAGGGCAGCTGGCCTCTCACCCAGAGAAGCACCTGCCCCACCTTGCAGGACACAGGTCCACTGTGGACAGGGCATGGAGCAGCTATGGGGTCACTGCATGTGGGGTGCCCGGTGTGGGTGGAGAAGCTCAGGAGAGGTTGGATGGACGGATGGACGGATGGCCTCTCTTCCCACAGGCGGTGCACCATGAGCACCCCCGTGTGCCCCCTCTTCGGGCTCTGGCTCTGGCTGTGGCTGGGTGTTGCCCTGGGACTCGGCCGGGGACAAGGTAAGGACACGGGGGGTGCCTCCTAGGAATGTGGCGCCAGTCCGTGCCCAACCCCACCCACTCAGGAGGGGCCTCTGCCTCCGCGCCTGACACTCCACCAGGAGCTGTTCGAGTTGAAGGCGTGCTTGAGGAGGAAAGACAGGACACCAGAGGCCACCTGTGTCCTCTGCCCAAAGCACCACCCGCGGCTTTTTGCGGGACCTTTGGCCTTGCTGTCAGCCCAGCGCGGGGATGCTGTTGTGTGCTTTCTGACAATTGTTGACACGCTTGGCCCTGAGCTCTGTCTTACATTCATGTTTTATTTTGAATTATTTCAGGACACCTCTACAATGTAAAACTTCCAAACAGCACAAGTCTAGAGTAAGGAGGGAAACCCCCTTTCCCTTCTGTCTCCCCAAGGAGAGCACTGTTCGCTACCTTCTGCTCCTGCTTCTGGCCCTTTCCCCGCTCACTTTCAGGCACAGGGAGAACACAAGGCTGCCCAGCAGCGTCTTGTGACCCAGTCTGGTCACTTCCCTTTGGGAGTCACCCTCATCTCCGTGTCTTTGGAATACCCCAGAAGGGACGCAGTGTGGAACGTGGCGGATGTCCTTGCCAAGCTCCCTACGAGGGGGGCTGGCTCGGACTGATTCTGGGAAGGCCAGTCTGCAGCTGCCGACCCGGGGGCTCCCGGCAAGTCCTGTGAGGGCAGGAGACCTGCCTCCTCACTGTTTGAAGCTGCCCCTCCTGGGCGACTGCCCGAGTCTCGCTGTGTTTGACTCATGGTCTCTGTTGAGAACGCGTGCACGGTGGAGGGGCATGCCACGTGGCCACACCTCGTGTGGAGGGAGGCACGGGTCTGCTGAGCACTCTTCCTCAGTGCTGGTTTGTCATGCAGACTGGCCGCGGTCATCAGGCGTGTCCCTGGGTCCCTGTGGCCCTGACAGGATCATGCCACAGTGGGGCCAAGTCACTAGTGAGTCCACGGACACACTGAGCTCCGCACTCGGCAGGGTCCCTGCAGAGTCTGAGCAGACCTGGGTCTCCCGGTCTCGAGGAGGGCAGGGTGGGTGTGGGCCCGCATGTCCGGGCTGCCTGCCCCGGGGGTGACCCTGGTGAGGGGGTGCTCCTGGGGGGTTTCCCACCGGCAGGCCCCCCCACTGTCTGCCCCATGCCCCACCAAGGACCCCTGACATGCAGATCTCGAAGGCAGCTGGGAATGTCTCCCCCAACATGTCAGAGGCACCGCGAGACACAGAGGGCCCTTCATGAGCAGGAGTTGGGGGGGTCGCGCTCACAAACGGCTTTTCATAGCTCCCCCGTCAGACATTCTTGCCTTTCAGCCTGGGGCTCCCAGGAGCCGCTGGGCACATCCGGACGCCCAGTCCAGCTGCTTCTCCCTGTGAGCTGTTGCTCATTGTGTCTGCCCTGGGCGCCCCCCACCCCTGCCCTTCTCCTGTGCCCCAGCTCTCATGGGGCAGCCAGAAGAAGCCCATCTCTGTCCCCCTTTTCCAAAAATAGCCACCCCTGCCACGGAGCTCCCGGAAGCTTCCCCGGGAGGCCAGGCTGTGTCCCAGGCCTCAGTCCTCCACTGCCCCTCCCCTTCCTCCCAGGATGGCCACGGACCCCACAGGGCTGTGTGGACGCTGCCGGGGAAATGAGGCGGCTCCAGGCCCCGGGGCAGGGGCCATGTGGGCTCCACGCTGCTGGTTGCCAGTGGGGCTGCTCCTACTGATCCTGGATGCTGGCCTGGGCCCCGGTTGGCAGGGCGGGGGGCACCCCTCGCAGAGCTGGGCAGGCCTCCCTGGGTGGGGGCAGTCTCCTCACTGGACCTACCAGGTGGCCCTGGCCCCTGGGACCCTTGGAGGGCCCGGTCCTCCTTCAGCCCCAGACGGGGCCTTAGGTTCTCCCGTGTCCCCCTGCTGGACCCCCACAGCTGCTGGGTGTTGTCCGGGGGCCAGTCCTGACCACCCGGTCGTGTCTCCCCAGCGAGCAGCCGCCTGAGGCTGGCTGTGCTGCCCGAGGACCAGCTGCAGATGAAGTGGAGGGAGTCAGGAGGGGGCAGCCTCGGCTACCTGGTACAGGTGAAGCCCAGGGCAGGTAAGGGGTCTGTGTGACTGGCGGGGCCGGCGGCCGGCGTGCTGGTCTGTGCCCAGCTCCTCCATCCCAGCACCCATGTTGTGAGTGGTAGGCAAGTGCTGCGGGAACGGGAGCAGGAGAATAAGGCCTATGAAGTCCCATGCCCACATCCAGCTCATGCCAACGGCGCTGTCAGTGTCTTTAGAAGAAACAAGAACTCCCTTCTCGAGCTTGGATCCCTTTCAGAATTCTGCACGCCAGTGAGCTGGCATCTGATGGGCAGGATTAACTCACATTTTACAGGAGGGAGGCCACGAGCACCCCCAGCATGATGCTGGCTGCTCATCTTAAAAAGTTTTCAGCAATCGGGGCGTCTGGGTCACTCAGTCGGCTAAGCATCCAGCTCAATTTTGGCTCAGGCCGTGATCTCAGGGCCAGGAGTTCAAGCCCCACATCAGGCTTCACTGGGCGTGGAGTCTGCTTGAGATTCTCTCCTTCTCCTTCTGCTGTTCCCCCCGACAAATAAAAAGAGAAAGAAAACTTTTCAAAAATTGAGGTTTGACATCCATGGAAAAGCCGGCAAACAGAAGTGTGTAGTTGCAGAAATTGGCAGAAAGCCAATGAGCCTGAGCTCCCCTCCCAAAGCGGAAAGGTGCACCTCCAGCCCCGCTCAGGCCCCTTCCCCATCACCATCCTGTCTCTGCCCCCAAGAATAACCCCCTTTCTGACTTGGGGGCAGTTTTCTGATATTTTGATTAAGCCAAATTTACTTATCCTATTTTTCAGATCTTTTCTATTTCTGCTCATTTTTTTTTTGGTCTACTTATCTTATTAGTCACCAAGAGAAACATCTTAAATCCCCACCTGTGCTGGAAATGTCTTCCTCTGCTTGTCTCACCAAACTTTGCTTTGTATGTTGAGGCCGTGTTTCGGGGGCACGCAAGTCTAGGAAGCCTGGCCGTGCAGGGCTCCCGTTCTCTCTCGTCAGCTTTCCCTTATGCCCCCTCTGCGGCCAGGGCTGCTGGCTCCGCTGGGTGGTGCCTGCATGACATCGTCGGGCTGCTGGCTCCGCTGGGTGGTGCCTGCATGACATCGTCGGGCTGCTGGCTCCGCTGGGTGGTGCCTGCATGACATCGTCTACTCAGCACCCTCTCACCTGTTATCATAGGTGCACCTTCCGAGGAGCACACGATCCGTGGTGTGTTCCTGTCCAATGTGACAATCCTTGCCTTTTAATAGAAACATTTTTTTCCATTTACATTTCATGAAATTACTGACATACTTGGATTTAAATCTATCATTTTCCTATTTGTTTTCTTTTTGTTATACTTGTTATATATATATATTTTTCTCTCCTTATCCTCTTTGAAACTCAATTTTTATGGAAAAATTTAAACACCTGCAAAAGAATAGACCATAGTGTAATGAAGCTTCATGTTCCCATGATGTAGCTTTGACAGTTACCAACATGTGGCCACTATTGTGTGACCTCTGCCTCCAACTCCTTTTATATATTGCATTATTTTAAAGCAAATCCAAGACATCGTATAATCATATAATTCTGTCTATAAATATTTTAGTAGTTTTCTCTAAAGGGAAGGACTCAGAAATAACTCCAGTACAACTAGCATGCCTAAAAACTGAAAATATTTCAGAGCTACTAGTAAATATTTTGTTGTGTTCTGATCTTCCAACTTGTCTGATAAATACTTTTTACACTTAATTTCTTTGAATTGAGATCCCAACAGAATCCACATACTTTATGTGGTTCCTAGGTCTCAAGTAATCTTCACTTTATTTTTTTAAGATTTCATTTATTTGAGAGAGAGAGAGAGCATGAACAGAGGGAGCAGCAGAGGCAGAGAGAGAGGCAGGCTCCCCACTGAGCAGGGAGCCTGATGCGGGACCCGATCCCAGGACCCTGGGACCATGACCTGAGCCGAAGGCAGACGCTTAACCACTGAGCCACCCAGGCGCCCTATTTCTCCATTCTTAATTCTGTGTTTTCTATCCTGACCTGTATTCCACTATTTATCTCTTCATTTATGTGTAAGAAGATGTTAAGTCATTCTTTGAATTCCTAACTTCAGTTTTTTGTTTTTCCATTCCAGAATTTCCATTTGGAAAATGTCCATTTGGTTTTTACATTCTCGAATTTCCTTTTTATTGTTTCTAGTTTGATACTCAAATTCATAGGCTTATCTCTAAGTCTTCAGACTAGTTAGTATAATTAAAGCCCCTTGACTCCATTGTCTGGAAAATCCGTGGGTCTCTTCCTATTGTCTGTTGTTTCTCTTAACTTTCTGTCACTTCCTCTTGTTCCTTGTACACCTGGTTGCCCTTCATTGAGCGCCAGCTGTTGTGAAAACTTACGGAAATAATTTATGACCTTATGTGACATTGTCTGACTTCAGAAAAAAATTGTGTTTGTTTCTGACAGAGGCAATTTGAACTAGCAGTTCTGGGTAATCTTTTTAAATTTTAGAGGTCAAGAGTATTTACCCACTCTGTGACATGCGTGCACACACGCATGTGCATAGACACACACCTGCCCACCTTGGTGGTCTCAATCTCTCTCCCCACCCCCACCCCAGGGGACATGGAACAGGAGGTGATGTTGACTACCAGGACCCCCAAGGCCACGGTGGGGGGCTTGAGCCCCTCCAAGGGCTACACCGTGCAGATCTTCGAGCTCACCAGCTCAGGGAAGGCCCTGCTGGCACAGCGGGAGTTTGTGAGTAAGTCCATAATCCTGCACAAGGAACCCAGCCTCAGAGTGTTGTGTGTGTGTGGAAAGGAGCTGTGGCCCCCCTCCCCACGCAGCCCCCTAGGCCCTGCTCCCACGCGGGGGTGGGGGACCCTGACAGCCCCTCACGTCTCTCTGCAGTTGAGGATTTGAAGAGTCACTCTGTGAGCAGGAGTGGCCAGATGCCACTGGAGGCAGCCATGGAGCCCATGCCCTCCCACGTGGGGAGCCCAGACCCTGAGCCCCGAGTCGCCTTGTCCCCAAGCCAAGACCCGCCCACTCCTGGTGGTGCAGAGTCAGATGAGGGTAGGTCACCTTCCAAGGTTTGCTCTCCATGCGGCCGGGGTGCTCTTCCTCATGTCTGACCTCACACTCTAGCTTCTCCTTGAGCATGCCGGCCGCTCTCCTGCATTCACTCAGGCTTACGGGGACAGGTCCCCTGCTGGGGGTGCGCTTGGGCCCCAGTGCCCCTTGCTGCCCAGCCTGAGTGTGGCAGGTGAGAGGTGACACAACTGTGACCTCCACAGGACTGCTTGGCGAGGAGCAGCGCCCACCCAGGGGCTCGGGGGACAAGGCCATTTCTCAGCCCACCGTAAACCTGGAGAGGCAGAGCCAGGCCCGGGGCTCTGCGGGAACAACAGAGAAGTTGGGTAAAACCACGAGGGCACCAGCCTCTGTGGGCTTTTGGGGCGGGGGCTGCATGACCCAGGGCAGGGCAGACAGGTGTGACATTTCTATCGGCCGTGCCTCCTCCCCCAGACCCGGATGTCTCTGACTTTGTCTCCCTATCAATCACACTTGGGATGGAAAGAGGTATCTCCCTCCTCAGAGGGACACATCCCCTCTCTCGCCCTCACTGTCCCCCATTGGACTTGGGGTCTGCCAGGATGGTCTCCCCAACAACACAAGGCTTTGAGGGCAGGGCTGCGCCCCCCATTAGATGGGGGTCTCCTTGCACTCACGCTACCCAGGAGTCCTCACGAGGGGCCTGTCCTGGGTTTGGGACTCGGCCCGGAGGCACTGACAGTATAGACTCTTGGGGAGCCCCAGACCCAGGCAGTGGCTTTGTGTCTAAAGAGCTCCTAGGTCATCAGGACAAGCCACCACCCCAGCCAGTGAGGCCTCAGCCCAGAGCTGCCAACCATGCTGACCACCCCCCCAGTCAATACCCCCTTGGCTAACCTCTGCCCACTGGCCCCCACATTGACAACCACACACAGGGACTGGCCCTGCTGAGATCACTGGAGGGGAGAGGCAGCTGGGAGTCTCATTAACCCTCCCTGGGGGCATTCAGAGGGCTGACACAATGAACCAAGGCCCACATGAGGTTTTCTGAGTCCAGTGGGAGCCCCCAGGACGTGGCCACGTGCCACACTTGAGGCCAGAGCCCCATGGCCCCTCACCCTCCACCAACCCCAGGGAAGGAGACCCAGGGGTTTGGAGCCTAGCCTGAAGCGGTTGGGGGGCTTCCTGTAGTGGTGTGGGCCGGGCCCAGCTCCTCACCTCCCTCCCTCCTCACCCAGCTAGCCCCAAGTTCCGCTGCACACCCCCCACACCCGTGGACATGATCTTCCTGGTGGACGGGTCCTGGAGTATTGGCCACGGTCATTTCCAGCAGGTCAAAGATTTCCTGGCCAGCGTCATCGAGCCCTTTGAAATTGGGCCAAATAAAGTCCAAGTCGGTGGGTACCAGCCCCCTGCCCTGCGGCCCTGCCCCCAGGCGTCCCCACTAGTCCTACCAGCACCCATGGGAGGCCCAACTCTGAGAAACGGCAAGTCGGGGAGGAGGCACGGAGCCTCCTGGGGAAACCGAAGGACAGCCCTGCCGATTGGTGTCACCGGCCGCCAACACACTGACTCCCCGCCTGGCCGGGCAGGTGGGGGCTCCCACAGGGGCAGGGTTATGTTCTGGTGACTGTCTGTGTGCAAACATGTGCCCTCCCTGGTGTCCCAGTGAGGCTGTGTGTGGGGTGGGCGGCTCAGCACCCAGCACCTGCCCCCCTCCCAGGCCTGACTCAGTACAGTGGAGACCCCCAGACCGAGTGGGACCTCAGCGCCTTCCGCACCAAGGAGGAGGTGGTGACAGCTGTCCACAGCCTCCGCTACAGAGGGGGAAACACGTTCACAGGTGTGCCTGGGCCCCCAGTGATCCCACCCTTGGGGGTTTTGTCCAGGTCTCAGTCCCGAAGCCCCTGGCTCCATCCCACAGGTCAGACTCCCAGACTTGAAAACTCGTATGTAAATCAAGCTGAGTGTGATGTGGGTGCTGAGCCTGATTCACACCTTCGTAAAGAGCAGGTCGCCCCTTAATTATCTTTGATGAAAACAGGGCTTTCCGTCAGGCTGGATTGCTAGAAGCGAGTGGCTCCTCCGATGGGTAGAAGCTTCCGGGAGGGGCCGCGAGTGGAAGCAGCCCCCAAGGAGCATCTCCCGCAGGCAGAGCCCCAGATCTTGTGGTGGTCCCTGCCTCTGGAGCCCCCAGCCTGGCGGGGCCGGGACTGACTCAGTGGGCCCTGAGCTGGGGCCCGGCCAGTGGAGTGGCATCTGGGCAGGGAGGGCACCGGGAGGGGCGCGTGGGGCCGCACGCCCTTGATTCTTGATTGCCCAAGGCCTGGCCCTGACTCATGTGCGGGAGCAGAACCTGAAGCCCGGAGCGGGGACCCGTCCAGAGGCGGCCAAGGTGGTGATCCTAGTGACGGACGGCAAATCCCAGGACGATGCCCGTGCTGCTGGCCGCGTCCTCAAGGACCTGGGTGTTGCCGTCTTTGCCGTGGGTGAGCAGCCCCCGGCCCTCGGCTGGGCTTCTCACGGCATGGGGGGCAGTTTGCACTCCCACTTCTTTGCCCCGGGGCTGGGGGTCCTGTGGTGTCGGTGCCACAGGGAGGACCCATCCCTGCTCCGAGGAGCTGAGCACCCATGGGCGTTCAGAGGGGGGCCACGACGTGGGGTTCCCACGCAAAGCCCCGAGTTCTCAGTGCCATGTGTGGATGTTCCCCTCTGCGTGTGCCCCACACACGGTGTCACAGGCGCCTGGCGCCCCTGTGATCTCGTTCTGCTTACTTGACCAGTCACTTCTTATCTCTGTCCCTTGGGAAGGAACTGCAGGTTTGGGGGCTCCTGGGGGCAGAGTACCTCCTTGCTGCCCAGGTCCTATTATATCATGGTTTATCCCAGGCCCTGGGGTCACGAGTAGGTCTGGGGGTGTGTGGGACTCTGAGGAAAGCACACTGGCCTCCCCCCGGCCCCAAACTCCATAGAGACCCAGGCAGGCCCTGCACAGCCTGCAAGGGCCTTTGGGAGCCCAGCCCTCCTGTACCAGCGCCCAGCCGCCGTCTCTCGGAGGGCCTGTCGGGTGACGCAGTTCCGGGGCCCGTGGGATCTTGGGTACCGGGCTTGGGAAGGCCCCTGCTGACGGCTGGGTGACTCAGGCCGGGGGCCCGTGGTCGTGCGTGTGGGATGGGACAACGGTGCCGGGTGGGTGGGGTCAGGTGCGTCCTCAGACCCCCCCGTGAGCAGGCGTGAAGAACGCAGATGAGGCTGAGCTGCAGCTCCTGGCGTCCCCACCGCTGGACATCACCGTCCACAACGTGCAGGACTTCCCGCAGCTCGGCACCTTGGCCGGCTTGCTCAGCCGCCTCATCTGCCAGAAGGTGCAGGGCGGGAGCCGGGGCCCCGGTGAGCGGGGTCACCTTCGCTGGCTGCGGCCCTGCCCGGCCACTCTGGGCAAAGGGAGGGGGCGCTTGTGGCCCCTGGATGGGACACCCTGAACCCCACCCCGCTTGGCTCTCAGGGCTCTGAGGGTGTCTGCAGCCTGGGGGACACCTGTCCCTTCTGGAAGTGGCCACCGGGGAGAGTAGGTAGAGCCTCTAATGCAGGCTGCCTGCTGGGCCCCTGACCGTCCTCCTTCGCACCCACAGTTCCACCGGCCGCCGGCACCCCGGCCCCGGAGACTGCCTGCACTCCCAGCAGCCTGGTCTTGACCCAGGTGACCTCTTCCAGCATCCAGCTGTCCTGGACCCCAGCCCCCCAGCTGCCACTCAAGTATCTGATCACGTGGCAGCCTTCCAAGGGCGGCACCCCGCGGGAGGTGAGTCAGGGCTGCACCTGACGTGGCGTCTTGGAGGAAGAAGGGCACAGCGGGGTGGCCTAGCAGACGGGCCGCGGCCCGCAAGCTGAGGGGAGAGACGGAGCGTGTGTGCTGCTCCCGCCTTCCATGGCTGCTTGGTGGCCAAGGTCACTGTGGGAGGCGAGGGCTGACCTCAGCCCCAGCAGAGCTGATCCTGTCCCTGCCCCGCAGCCCTGCACCCCGCACCCCCTGCACCTGTGCCCCACACCCCTGCACCCCGCACCCCCTGCACTCCCCACCCCTGTGCCCACCCCGCGGGCTCTGCTGTGGCTCATGTTCTAGGTGGTGGTGGAGGGGCCCACCTCGTCCGCGGAGCTTCACAGCCTGACGGCCGGCACCGAGTACTTGGTGTCTGTGTTCCCTGTCGGCAAGGCCGGGGTCGGCCAGGGCCTGCGGGGCCTTGTGACCACAGGTGGGTCGGGTGGAGCCGGGCCGGGGCTCAGGGCTACCCTATCTGTAGCCTCCTTGGAGCCTCCCTCTAGCAGGGGTGGTGCCAAGGCTGGCCTGGTCTCAGCCCACCTGCTGTGGGCCTCTCTGACCCTCGGTGTCCTCTTCTGAGCTTCTCAAGCCTTTGTGGAGCTCTCGCCCTCTCTGACCTGCCATGAGCCCCTTCAACAGCTTTCTTAAGACATAATCCCCACGTTGTGCAACTCATCCGTTAGTGTGAGACTCAGCAGTCCAGTCTAGTCCCCGGGTGTCTCCACAGTCGACTGTCAAGTGTCATCCTCACCGGGAGAGAAGCTCTGCACCCCCGAGCTGCTGCCCCCAGCCCCTCAGCCCCTGTCAGTCCCCAGTCTGTGTCTGTCTGCATGGATTTGCCATTTCTGGGCCACACGATACGTGGCTTCCTGTGGGGTTTCTAACCTGGGGACGTGGCACCCCCCCACTCAGGGCAGGTAACCTTAAACAGAAACCCACAGGTGGCTGTGTTCCCCCAGAGCTGTCAGCTGGAAACCCAGCCCAAAATGAAGTCTGGCTGGGTCAGACTGGCTTGTGGGCCTCCCCCACCCTCCCACCTCTGTCTCCACTGAGACCCACCGCAGGGTCTGCACTTACCTGGGCCCTTTGTCATTTGAGCAAGGCCCCCCTGGTGTGTGTGCACAGTCTCTGCAAGGTGCTGCATTCCTAAAGTGTCCCCCCTCCCCCAGCGCCTCTGCCTGCGCCCCAGGCCCTGACCCTGGCTGCCGTGACCCCCAGAACCATCCGCCTGGCCTGGCAGCCCTCGGCTGGGGCCACACAGTACCTGGTGCGATGCTCGCCGGCCTTCCCCCCGGGCCAGGAGGAGGGCAGAGAGGTTCGAGGCCAGCTGGGAGGGGAGGCAGAGGAGGGTGATCCGGGAGGCAGATGGGGTGGGCAAGGGGCAGCACGAGTGCCACGTCCCTGCAGGTGCGGGTGGGACAGCCAGAGGCACTGCTGGACGGCCTGGAGCCTGGCACAGACTATGATGTCTGGGTGCAGAGCTTGCAAGGGACAGAGGCCAGCGAGGCCCGGGGCATCCGTGCCAGGACCGGTGAGTGCCCCACCCCACAGGCTGCTGCCCCCAGGGCAAACGCCCTGCTCTGGCTCCTCTCAGCCTTCCACCAGGTGGGGGAACCCAGGCCCCTCTGGTGGCCCCTAACCAGTTGGGGAGAGGGTGCTGGCTGGTCCCTGAGGCTGCGATGTGTTCCACAGCCACCCTGGTGCCCCCCAGACACCTCGGCTTCTCAGATGTGAGTCACGACTCAGTCCGCGTGTTCTGGGAGGGCATCCCGAGGCCCGTGCGCCTCTTCAGGGTCAGCTTTGTCTCCAGTGAGGGCAGCCACTCCGGGCAGGTGAGAGTGCCTGGGGGGCCACTGGGGGGCCTGGGGTCCCGCGGGGACGAGGTGAACACAGGGGGCCAGTACCCCCAGCCCCCCCCCACGCTGCCTTCACAGTTGTTGGGTGCTGGCGGAGCCCCCAGGCACCAGCTTTGGCCTGCTGTGGAGCCGACTCCATCCCGGCCTTTGGGGGCCCCAGTCTGCAGGGGCAGGGAAGGGGCAGGTGTGAAGCTAGGAATCAGACAAATACACATAAATGACATCTGTGATGCGGGGTGCAGGGTACGGGGGATTGTGAGCCAGGCTCTTTGGGGGAGGTGGGGGCGGGCGAGGGCCCAGGAGGCCCCGCCTGTGTGGTGGGTACCCCCTCCAGTGCACCTCCCAGGCTGGGGTCTCCTTCCTGCCGGGGCTGACCCCTCCCTGGTCTGGGGAGTGGCTCCAGGCCTGCCCCCATGTGGCCTGTCTGCCTTGCAGGTGGAGGCCCCTGGGAACGCCAGCTCGGCCACTCTGGGCCCTCTCTCCTCTTCCACCACGTACTCTGTCCGCCTCACCTGCCTCTACCCTGCGGGCGGTTCCTCCACACTGACCGGCCGCCTGACCACACGTGAGGGGCTGAGGTTCGGGTGGGGTCCCCAGGGTGGCTTCATCCCTCCCCCGATGGATAGTTCAAGCTAAACACATGGGCCTAGGTGCTGCCATGCGCAGTGCCGAGCTAGGTGGGCTCACATGTACCCGGACACATGTGATGTGGGGCATGGGGCCCTGGAGGGCGCGACCCGGGGCACCTCAAGAAGCAAGGCCTGTGCCCAGCCTGCAGCCGGGCGCTGGGAAAGGGGAGGAATGGGCATGGCTTTTGTGTGGGGTCTGGGGTCCCCTCTGCCCCCCATGGGCAGCCATCCCCAAGTGTGGTCCCGCAACAGTGAAACCTCCTTCCCGCGCATGGGGGCAGATCTCTGGTGAGTCGCCCAGGGCGGGGGCATGTGGGGCCCCCTATGAGCCCCAGTGGGGCGCAGCGGCCACCTCCTCAGGGCTGTTGCTTGTCCAGGCCCTGCCGCCCCAACCTCAGTGTCCCTGCTCTATCTCCAGGGAAGGTCCCCAGCCCGAGCCAGCTCTCGGTGACAGAGCTCCCTGGGGACGAGGTCCAGCTGGGGTGGGCAGCTGCCGCGGCTTCTGGAGTGCTCGTCTACCAGATCAAGTGGACCCCCCTGGGAGATGGGAAGGCCCGTGAGGTGTGGCATGGGGAGAGGAAGACCACCCTCCTGCCCCCCGGCTCGGGGAGAGCTGAGACCCTGGAGCTTCATCCAGGGGCACCAGCCTCCCCGTGGCCTGTAGGCGGGGCCCGCATGAGGACACCTGTCTGGGGGGTGCACCCCTGTCCCTTTCCTCTGCAGATCTCTGTCCCAGGGAACCTGGGCGTGGCGGTCCTGCCTGGCCTCCAAAGCCACTTGGAGTATGAGATCACCATCCTGGCCTACTACAGGGACGGGGCCCGCAGCGACCCAGTGTCCCTCCGCTACACCCCCGGTAGGTGACCCCTGCTCCGCCCCTCAGCTACGTGAGGAGCAGGAACAGCCCAGAGGGACCCCAGACTCCAGAGCCGTAGACAGCTCCCTGAGTCCCTGGCCCTATGGCCTGACCGCTGGGTCAGCAGGCTCTCCCCGAACCCTCCTGGCAGGTGTTCCCAGGGGGGACCGAGGTTTCACGTCACCGGCTATCCTCTAGGCTATCCTGGGGCTGACCTGTGCCAGTGGTCCTGTCCGTGCCGAGGCTAGGGGCAGCAGGACGCGGTGGGAGGGCGTGCTGGCCACCCTCTCTGAGCCCCCAGGTGCTGCCTGCCTCACAGCACGCCGGAGCCCACCCTCCAACCTGGCCCTGGCTTCTGAGTCACCCAGCAGCCTGCGGGTCAGCTGGACCCCCCCAAGCGGCCACGTCCTCCGCTACCGGCTCACCTACGTGCTGGCCTCGGGCTCGGGACCTGAGAAGTCGGTGGGTCTTGGTGGAGCAGGGAGGCCATGCCCCTCATGGGCCCCTAGGTCCCGGGCGCGGTGGGGGAGGCACGGCCTACCCTGTCTGCTGAGGGGGGCAGGTCTTCCCCGGCAGGACACAAACAAATGAGAGCAGAGATGCCCAAATGAGCAAAGATGCTCCGAGGGGAGGGAGGCTTAGGTGACTGTGTCCTCCCTCCCAGATCTCTGTCCCAGGACCCAGGAGCCACGTGACGCTCCCCGACCTGCTGGCAGCCACCAAATACAGGGTCCTGGTCTCGGCAGTCTATGGAGCAGGGGAGAGTATGCCAGTGTCTGCCACAGGCCGGACGGGTGAGTGGGCACCAAGACCACCAGACCCAGCCAGACCCCAGACCCTCATACCCAGCCAGACCCCACCTGGACCCCCAGACCCTTACTGCCAGGCAGACCCCAGCCAGACCCCCAGACCCTCACACCCATCCAAGCCCCAGCCAGACAAGACCCTTGCTCCCAGCCAGACCCCAGCCAGACCCCAGACAGGCCCCCAGACCCTCATTCCCAGGCAGACCCCAGCTGGACCCCAGACCCTCACACCAAGCCAGACCCTAGCCGGACCGCAGACCCAGCCAGGCACCCGGAAGCCTAGAACCTGGGGGCCTATTCAGCTGGAGTCCTGCCAGCAGGATGTGCTGTCTGTCATGCTCAGCACACGGCCCAGCCCTGTGGAGCTAACAGAAGGAGACTGGGATTTCCACTGAAACCTTCCCCATGGAGCAGTGCAACCACTAAACCCAGGGTTAAGACCATATTAGTCCAATAAAACGGGTGCAGTTTGGTGCGACTGGGGGCTCCTGGCTGGAGCTTTGCCTGCAGGGGCTCAGAGCTGCGGAATGGGCTCGTAATTCCCCTATATCTGCATCCAGGAGGTCAGGGCAGATGTCCAGCCCGGCGGGAGTCCTGGGCCAGCTGAATGCAGGTCGCAGACAGGGCAGGCGAGGGTCACAGGGAGATTACTTAGGGGGGCCCAGGCTGGCCTCCCTTGATGCACCAAGCTCATGGACAGGACATCTGTGGTCCCTGGGGGATGGCCACCCACAGGCCAGGGCCCAGCAGAGAGGTTCCTGCTGATTCTGTTTGTGGCTGTATGCTGGTTTTCTTGGAAAATCACAGACGCTCAGAGCAGAGGACCCTCAGAGGCCATCCAGCTCGGCCACTCCAGCTTCCCTCTGTGTCCCTCCACGGGGTCATCTAGTTTTCACTTGAATGCCTCTGAGGATGGGGGCCTCCCTACTCCGTGGTGCCTTTACTGGCCCACGGACAGCTTCAGAGCACCTCCTGTGCGCCTGGCTGTGGAGTAAGCCTGCATGGTCAGGCCAGGTCAGCACACGCCCCAGGATAGCATGTCCCCACAGCCACGCATCTCCCTGGCCCTGCCGCCTGGAACACGTTGGGTGGCCTGTGTTGGCGTGCAGCACCCAATGGGAGAACCCTCCAGGCACTGTCCCCGGGGGAGCAGGACACCATCCCTGTCGCTTCCCCATCCTGTCCGAGGTGTGGGGACCGCAAGCCTGGAGACCCGCAAGCGTGTGTGGGTGAGGACGTGGCTCTAAGGCACCGTAGACTTGAGGGCAGGGCACCTGGCCGCGAGGGGCCCCAGGTGGAGGCAAGGCCCCTCGCCACTGACCCAGACTCCCTTTGCCTCCCAGCAGCCTGCCCCGCCCTCAGCCCCGATGGCCCCCTCCCAGGTAGGACCCCCCGCGTGACAGCTGAGCTCCCTCCCCATCCCCCACCTGTACCTCCTCCTCCTCCTGTCGCGTCTTCCGGGGAAGCGGCCTGGGACCCCCACCCGCCATGAAGGGGCAGTGACAGGGCACCAGGGTCACGGGGTCGGTAGAGGCGGTCAGGCAGGACTCTCACCTTTGCAGGGGGTTCCCCATGAGGCTGGCCAGGCCTTTATTCTCACGTCACTGTCGAGGTCACAGCTGGGACATGGCCACGCGGAGACGAGGCTGGGGCCCTGGGTCCTGTACGGCCTCCTGCAGGCTATCTGCTAACCGGGAGCTGGGTGAGGGGCCAGGGCCGGGGGTCACACAGGGATGCCCCCCGACAGGGGGCTGACCTGTGAGTGGGAGATCTGCCCGGAGCGGGGACGGTGCCCCTAACGTCAGAGGAGGTGCAAACGCCTTGAACCCGCTGAGTCAGGGCGGGTGGTGTGGCCGGCTGCTGGGCACCCTGGCTGCTACTGGGTGTGGGGTCACCCGTGGAGTGCAGTGGGGGGCCCCGGGCGCCCGACCCCCACCCACCTGCAGGTTCTGAGTGTGCGTCCGTCGGCAGTCTTCACGGTCACTGTCTTCGCGTCTGCGCGTCCTGTATGGCTCCTGCTCCTGCCCCTCCCTCCCTCCCTCACCCCAAGTCTCTGATCACCCCTTCGTTGCTGCCGTGGCCACGCAGGCTTCGACCTCATGGCAGCCTTCGGCCTGGTGGAGAAGGAGTACTCTTCCATCCGTGGTGTTGCCATGGAGCGCGCGGCGTTCAGCTGTGCCAGGACCTTCACGCTCTTCAAGGATGCTCAACTGACCCGCCGGGCCAGGTAGGGGGCTGGGGGGTGGACTGGGCCCCAGAGGGGGCAGGTGCAGAGCAGGGGTGGGTGGCCGCATCCTCCCTGTGATGTCCCCCCAGCCCCTCTGGGGAGGCTGTGGCGGGTTCAAGCCCCCAGAGCCGACCAGGGACTCCCCTGAGCAGGTGGGGTTTTACAGATGAATAAATCTCTCGTGGGTGGAACGAGGCCGCGTGCGGGTCCTTTTCCCGCATGGCCCCAGCGTTGATCAGACTTGCAGACTTCTGCACAGAAGCTTGTGTCCCTTGAGAACTCCTGCGTCTCGGTGGGCGTGGATCAGGCAAATCTGCAAGCAGCCGGGGGCTCTGCAGAGGCCACCCCATGACCCGCCGTGAGCAAGGCTGAGTGGCTCCCGTAAGCTCACAAGCGCCCGGCCTTGTTTGTGGAGAGATCCTGAATCAAACGGGAACTGTGATACGCACTGCATAACCCTTCCTTGTGAAGGGTTCTTGTGAACCCTTCTTGTGAAGAGTGAAGATGCTGCACGTTATCAGCACCGTCATATGCTTTGTGCTGGAAGTTTGAAAAATACGAAGCAGACCATTGCGCAACACTCCGGCAAGCTGCTAGGATTCAGGCCTTTCTCCCCAGCGTGGGCGTGGCGGGCGCCGCGGGTGGGCGTGGCCACGGCAGGTGCCGCTCTGCTCCCATCTGAGCTCATAGCTCCTCCTCCACGGTCCTCTTCCTCCAGCCCAGCCCAGCCTGCTCCTACGTTAACGTGACAGGTGGTGATGGGTCTCCCTGTGCGTGTGGGTGGCTGAAGCCGGTCCCTTTCCCGGTGGCCCCTTCCTCCCGGCCAAGCTGGAATCTGCGGTTCTTTATCGGGACGGGCTGCTCTGAGCGTCTGGGGCCCCGAGGTCTACCCTCCCTGGATGGCGGCCCCACAATGGCGCTCTGCCATGCTTGTCCCTTTTCTGCAAGTGCAGACTTTCCCAGGCCCTCGCTGTCGACGGTTCTGCTGGTGTGGCCCCCACTCCAGATGCGGTCAGCCACCCCAGGCGAGGCCACCCAGCACAGGTGTCCCCCCACCATCATAGCTGCCACAAGAGGGGTTCTAGGTTGCTAAGAGCAGAAGGGGTCCCTCCCTGTGTTGGGGTCAGAAAGGCTCCCCAGGGAAGGGGCAGACAAGTAAGGGCCACCAGGGAGACAATAGGGAAAGGGAAGGGCACTGAGGAAGAAGGAGCAGCCCGGCCAAGGCCCTGGGGTCAGTTTGCTTGGAGAACCACAGGAATGGGCCGGTCTGGGTCTTTGGGGCTCTCGGTTACCCTAAGAATGAAGGGCAAAGAGCGAGGCCGTAGGCCTTTAGGAACAATGTTACTGGGTGCCCTTCCCACCCTTCAGCACGCCCCAGTGGGCACTGGCACAGACCCCCCCACCTGCCCACTCTGAGCACTCCAGCAAGCTCGGGTCTGCGGAAGCAACTCCCGAGGGCAGAGCTGCCTGTGGGTTTGTGGGCTCCTGACCCCAGGACACAGGCCCAGAGACCCTCCTGCCAGGCCCCCGTGACCTAACCCCCTCCGCCCCCGCAGAGCCCCTGGAGGGTGGGGTCTTGGAGGACCCTGCCCAGGAGTGCCCTGAACACTTGCTGTGGTCCAAGCCACAGGGCGTGTCTCACTGAACCCGCACCAGCCTGGGGGCGCTTCTGTCCCTCACATACCCGATGTTACTACTGGGGAATGGAGGCAGGAGAGGCCCAGCTTGGTCGTGGACCCCCACCCTGCAGTCCCGTGGGTCTGCGGGGTGGCGGGACCCCACCTCCAACCAGGCCTGCAGTCACCCCCCGACCTGTGCTCCAACAGTGGCCTCCAGCTGGCTGCCCCCCCACCAGAGCACACGGTGGTCTTCCTGCTGCGCATGCTGCCCGAGACCCCTCGCGAGAGCTTCGCGTTATGGCAGATGACAGCCGAGGACTTCCAGCCCATCCTGGGGGTCCTGCTGGATGGTCAGTCCACAGGGAGGGTTGGTGGGCCCAGGTCCGTGGGTCCTGAGGAGGTCTGCGTCCGGGCCAGGCCAGGGATGCCCCAGGCTCAGCGGGAGGCCGGAGCTTCCCATAGGAGCCGTGTCCACAGCTTGGGCCCCTGAGGCTTGGGGTGCGTTTGCATGCTGCCCGACCGTGGGGCCGCCCCGTTCTCCTCTGGGGGTCTCACGTGCTCCCACCCTCCCCTGCAGCTGGCAGGAAGTCTCTGACCTACTTCAACCACGATCCCAGGGCCACCTTGCAAGAGGTCACCTTTGACCTGCCCGAAGTGAGGAGGATATTCTTTGGAAGCTTCCACAAGGTCCTGGAAGTTTCCTGAAAGACTAAAGTGCGCCTCCCCGAGACCCCCCCCCCCTCCCCCCATTTTGGGGCGCGGCCCCCCCCCCCCACAGGACCCGCAAGACGTGCTTGCCTCCCAACTGCAGGCTGCCCATCACACACCGGCTCTCCCCGCCCCGCCCCACCCCCACTCCCCCCCATTTTCCTTGAAAGTCACGTTGGCCTGTCCGAGCCTCTGCCCCACGGTCCCCTCTAGACAGATGTCTTCATTTGGGTCAAAGAGCATCCAGCCCTTTCTGGGTCCCACAAATCCCTGGGAGGGGTCTGCAACAAGTGTGATTTGGTCTACTCTATAAAGGGGAAACTGAGGCCTCGTGAGACCTGGGGTGGAGTTAGGATCCTGACCCCCAGGTGCTGGGCCCTGCTGTCTGGCCTGGCCTTGCGGGCACAGGCGGGTGCCCACCCTGGCTGGGGCTGCAGGGGAACCTTTCTGGTGTCCGGCAGGTGCATGTGGCCGTGGGCCGCTCCAAGGTCAGGCTCTACGTGGACTGCCGGAAGGTGGCCGAGAGGCCCATCGGGGAGGCGGGCAGCCCACCTGCCGCGGGCTTCGTGATGCTGGGGAGGTTGGCCAAGGCCCGGGGCCCCCGGAGCAGCTCAGCCACAGTGAGCATGGACCTTGTCCTGCTGGGCTGGGCCGGAGGGGGGCCATGGAACCGCAGCCTCGTCTGGTTGACCCTGCTCTGTGTCATAGTTCCAGCTCCAGATGCTGCAGATCGTGTGCAGCGAGTCCTGGGCAGAGGAAGACATGTGCTGTGAGCTCCCTGCGGCGGTACGGGGGCCTAGCGCCTGCCAAGGGTCCCAGAGTCTGGGGGTGGACGGCATGTCCACCATCACGGTGCTGGCAGAGATCAGGACAGGCTTCCTGGAGGAGGTGGCCTCTGGGCCAGAGCCAGAGCCCTGGGCAGCTGGATGCAAGTGTCCCGGAGGCCCTGGGGGCCAGGCAGGCTGGAGCGTGTCAGGAAGTCCCAGCGGCAGGGGTGGCACTGCCTTTTTCTGTGGGCACAGCTAGGGTGCACCCAGCGGGCCAGGAAGACACTCATCAGGCGAAGCCAGAGGGACTGCCAGAGACTCGGGTGCCCTCCGCACCTTGCGGGTGTGGGCAGGGTTCCTCACGCTGTACCCCCACCGGGCTTGGCCACGCTCGGGACTTGGGAGGGACTGGGAGACAGCCCGGGCGGGGCAGCCTGGGGGTGGCGCCCAGGGTGGGGTCCCTGCCCTCATTCCCAGCCTCCCAGGCGTCCTGGAACCCAGGTGTCTGTGGCTCCTCAGAGCTCTAGGTCAGATGAGAACAGCTAGGGGGCCACTTAATGAGTGGGATCTCCTTTCCCCCAGAAGGATGGAGAGACCTGCCCTGCCTTCCCATCTGCCTCCACCTGCACCTGTTCCTCACAGAGCCCTGGGCCCCCGGGGCCCCAAGGACCTCCGGTGAGTCCATCCTCTCCTCCCCTGGGGTGACCAGGGCTCTCGGCAACGTCCTGCTGCCACAGCACCGAGCAGCTGTCCCAGCCTGCCTCCAAGATGGGACGTGCTCCTGCGTCCCCCAGCTGCCTCGTCCACCCAGCCTCTCCTTCCCCCCACCCCGCAGCTGCCCTCCCCTGGGCTGACCCCTGTCTGGGGATCCAGCATAACCCCAATTTCCCCGTGGGAGTGCGGCCCTGTGCTGGTGGTGGCCAGTGGGTGTGGCGAGTCATAGCCACGTGGGTGGCCTCTGTCCTGGGTACTCACTGTGGGGCCTGGGAGGTGGCTCTCCAGGCCCTGGACCCCCCATGGGGCAGGGCCTGCGGTTGGAATGTCGGTCATCAGGCACTGGCTCTGCTCAGCGGTCCACACCAGACGGGGGCCAGGATTTGAACCAGGACCTGCTGGAACCAGAGTCTGCTCTACCAAGAGGCTGTGGGAGGGAAGGATGGGCTAGGATTCTCTTGCCCCGAAAGACCCTTCCCCTCCTCCACCGAAACTTGGGGACTGCAGTCCAGGGCAATGCTGTGGGGCCCTCGGGTGGACGGCGCTGAGCCCTGACCCTGCCCTTGCAGGGCCTCCCTGGAAGGAACGGAACCCCAGGAGAGCAGGGTTTCCCAGGGCCCAGGGTGAGTAGGAGGGAGTCCTGTGGGGCTGGACCCTACCTTTCATGAGAATGCAGGAGTCAGCCCCACAACTGGAAGCAAGGTGCCCTCCCCAGGGAGTGGCCAGCTTCCCACCCCACCCCAGAAATCACAAATCTCATCTCGTCTCTGACCTTGAGCACTCTGACAGGTGAACTGTGTTGACACCGTTTTAACTGGCTTTTCTCCTAAAGCAGCTCCAACACCCTGTGGAAGTTGCTGGAATTTTCTTGTTGGACAAATGTCCTTTGAACGCTTTCCATGGGTACTTTTCTTACTAATTCTTGGGAGCGCAGTATACTTTATGGAAATCAGCCACACGTGTGAGTTGTGACCACGTTTGCCACACCAGTGTTTGTGCAGAGCAGGCTCGGGAGCAGAGATGGATGCGTTGGGTTGTGTGATTATCACGTCCGTGTGTTCTTATCTTATTAGATTTAAAAACTTAAGTGTGGATATTAAGTAAGATTTGCTGCTTTGGACACAGCCAAATAATTTTTCTTCCTGGAGCTGTTAGTTTGGTGAATGATCTTGGTGTCTTCCTGAATCCTGAACTGCATAAACTGGGTGCTTCCCACCCACGTGATGTGCGGCTGGGCTCTGCCTGCCGATGTCGTCCTGAGGACTTTCTCACCGATAGTCACACATGAGAATAGCTTCAGTTTTCTTTACGGAGTTTGGTACATTGATATGCTTAATTCACAAAGGTTACCTGAAGGCATTCTCTCATCCCCCTGCGCCCCGCAATCCCAAGCGGTGGAAATAGCAGGTGCCCCCTGTCCCTTAGCGATTTGGGAGAACGCTCCAGGAGGGCTGAGTCTGTGACTGGCCTGCCCGGGCCGGCTCTGCCAAGCTGGTTTCTGCACACCTCTGGGTCGAGAAGGGAGAGCAGGCCCCCGGGCTCCGAGACCTGCGGCCGCGGCGCGGTCTGTTCCTGGCGGTCGAGAGGGTCTCAGCAGGACCCCTCCCAGAGTGGGCAGTGAGGGTGAAGATGCCTCTGCACAAGCCCGGGTCTGGTACCAAAGTCAGCCGGAGGCCCGGGAGGGTCACTGACAGGGCAGAGGGAGGGGCTGCTGGGGGGCCCCCAGACCCTCTCAGCCCCTCCCCCGCCTGCGTCTGCAGGGGGAGCCTGGGCCACCCGGACAGATGGGGCCTGAGGGTCCTGGAGGGCAGCAGGGGTCCCCAGGGACCCAGGGCCGAACCGTGCAGGGACCTGTGGTAGGTGCTTCCTCCCCTCACCCTCCTCTGTGCTGCCCCGCCCCCTCCTCCAGGACAGACTAGCCGCTGAGTCTCTTTCCTCTCCAGGGTCCGCCAGGGGTCAAAGGAGAGAAGGGGGACCATGGGCTCCCGGGCTTGCAGGTAGTGGGATCAGACCCCACTCAGGGCACGTGGGCAGGGAGGGCATGGGCGGGGACATGGGTCTCCTCTGCTTCAGACCTTGGCCTCGGCCTGGCCAGCCGTCTCTGTTCCCTTCTAGGGCCATCCCGGTCACCAGGGAGCCCCCGGGAAGGTCGGCCTCCAGGGACCAAAGGTGGGAGAGAAGCCAGCGGCGGGAGGGTCTTGGACAGGGGCTGAGGGGGTGGTGGCCTGGCCAGTGGGGAGGGGGCTGTGGTCACTGCCCGGGGCGGGGAGGCGGGCCCTGAGCTGGGCTGGCCTCATGGGCTCTCAGAGTGCCGCACAGGTTCACAGGGACGGGTCACTGTGTGTCCGCTTGTGGCGGCCACATGGGCATCCACGGGAGGGCATGTAGGGGTGCCGGGCCCCCTCCCCACCCCAGCCTGCCCCTCCCTTTGCCCTCAGGGAATGCGAGGCCTGGAGGGGAGCACTGGCCTGCCTGGACCTCCAGGCCCGAGGGTAGGCACCACCTGCCCTTCCAGGGTCTCCCACCATCTCCTCAGGGCTGAACACAACACAGGCCACAGCGGGAGGAGGTGACCCGGGGAGGCCTCTCCTCCTGGGCTGGAACCGTGCAGAGCTCCGCCGGGCGTACGGGTGCCCTGTGCCCAGGACCCTGCCGCACACTGTGCGAGGGTCTTTCCTGCCTCCGCCGTGCAGGTTGGACAGCCCCAGGCACCCCTGTGCAAGATCCATGTGGCAGGAAAGTGCCCGGGCTGCCGGGGCTGCCTGGGGAGGGTGGGGTTGAGGCTGGCTACAGCACGGGACCCGGGCCTCCCTCTCCCTCTCAGGCCGCCTCACGCAGAAGCACCCGCCCTCCCCAGCCAGCCGGGTCCTTGCTGCTCTGAGTGGGGGCGCCCAAGGTGGCCTCGGCCAGGTGCCTGTCCCGCAAAAGGCCGCCAGGGGGCCAGGGCAGGGGCGGGGGTGGGGGCTGAGGGGAGGACCATGGTCACACTCAGGACGGCTGGAACAGAGCCAGGGGGTGTTTTAGTGAAGAATCAGAGCTGCGGGGTGGGGCGGGCAGGGCTCTGCCCTGCACATGGGGCCTGGACCAGCCCTGAGGTGGACGATGAGGCTCAGCCTGCGGGAAGCTGGGAGGAGTGAAGGATCTGGTGTGGGTCCAAGGCCGCAGGGACCCAGACCACAGGGAGCCAGGGCGGGAGGGAGGAGGGGCCACGTTGTCCGGGGCCTGCAGCCAACCGCCCCTCCACACCTCGGCAGGGCTTCCAGGGCACGGCGGGGGCCAGGGGCACTGGAGGGGAGAGGGGACCCCCGGGGGCCGTGGGGCCCACGGTAAGTCCGCTTCCCACCTACCACCTCCCCAGGAATGGGGAGACAGGAGGCAAATGTGAGCAAATTCCTCCCTCCCAACCGATCAGGCCACTTTGTAAAGCCAGGCCTGCAAAGAGCTTGGGTTTGGGGCTCAGCAGAAGGAGCCCGGAGCTGCCCCTGGTAGAACCCCAGACCCAGGACAGGTGGGGCACAGACGGTGGGGCTGTGGGCTCTAGGGTGTGGGGCCAGACCTGGGCCTACAAGCCAAGGAGGGGGCTCCAGCTGGGGACAGGGAAGAAGGCAGGCCCAGGGGAGGGGACGCACTGCGTACAGGCCTGGCGGGCTTCTGGACCTGCCTCCCTGGCTGGCTGGCTTGCTAGCGGAAGGCCCTTTGTCCACTGGGGACTCCCTGCAGCCAGCTCCCTAGGATCAGGCTCTGCCTTCCCTGGTCTTCCTCCCGCCAGATGGGTGGGACCCCCGCCCCCACCCCCACCCCCACCCCCACCGGGAGCAGAGTCAGGAGACGCCGACCCCAACCCCAGGCCTGGCCTGCAGCCCTCGCCTGCCCAGAGGGGAGCCAGGATGGGGTCCAAGCACATCTCCTCTGCTGTTGGTTTACTTCTCTGTCATTTTCCAACCCTTTTCCTCCACTCCAGGGGCTGCCAGGACCCAAAGGGGAGCGAGGAGAGAAGGTGAGTAGGCCCCTGTCTGGGGTCCGGGCACTTCCTGGGGAGCACGGGGGAGGTACCGGCCCTCGTGCCGCTGGTCACGGAACGTGGCCACTGGCCCATCCTCCCTTGCAGGGTGAGCCACAGTCCCTGGCCACCATCTACCAGCTCCTGAGCCAGGCCTGCGAGTCTGCCATCCAGAGTGAGTGGTGTAGCTTCCTCGTGAGGACCCCAGAGCCTCCCATGCCCCCCGTGCAGCCTCTGTGCTCACAGCAGCCTGGACGCCTCGTCACTGGCAGGCCCAGCCTGGCCCGGCCATTCTCCTTGGCCATGCACCGTGGAGCAAGGGGGGAAGGCACGTGGGGGCCCCCTGTGTCCTGCGCCCCACCCTGCTGATGCCCCCTCCACCCCAACCCCCAGCTCATGTGCTGAAGTTCCACTCCTTTCTCCATGAGAGCGCCAGGCCCCCCAGGCCCATCTGGGAGGCCCCCAGGCACCCCGGCACACTCAGTGAGACCCGGCTCCCTGGAGAAGGGGGAGATGTTGGCCCCCGCCCGGTGAACGGAGGTACTGGCCCTATGGGGAGGGTCTAGGGGCCCTGGCAGCCCCTCTCCCGGTACTGGGCTCCCCACCCTCCCCGGGCCCCTGAGCCCACACAGAGGTCACTTAGGGCAGGACTGGACACTGCCTGGCTTCCTGGGGTCCCCAAAGGAGCCCCTTCCCCATTCTCTCAGGATGCCCAAGATTAGGGCCATTTGCTGTTCTGCCGTCCCTCCCCCCGCCCTCCTTCCCGCGTGCTCGCATGCCTGATGCTCGATGCTCGGATGCAGCAGGAGGCTTGGTCTAATGACCTTGTCCTGCATCCCTCCATCTGACTGGGGCTGCAGTGCTGGTCACAGCTCAGGTGCTAAGATGGATGGGAGGCTGATTAGGGGAGACAGAGCTCGTGGGCCTGGATCAGGGAGAAAGGAGAGGGGCGGAGTGGGGCTGGAGCACTGCGCTGTGGGCAGGGAGGGGTCCTGCCTCACACCTCAGGCTGTGCATTGAGGGCCTCACTCATGGGAACCCCCTGCCCACCATAGCCCATCACAGTTCCCCAGACATGGCCTTTGGGGTGAGTACCCCCTCTTTGACAAGGCTGGCACATGCTGTCATGAGGCCCCCCCCACTGAGCCTCCCCGACTTGGCCACGGAGCCAATAGCTAGTGTCTATTTAGGGTTCAGGCACCCACCTTCCCATCAGTCAGAACAGGGTCCCTGAGAAGGAAAAGGAAAGCATTGCTTTCTGTACCTCTTGGTTCGAGCATGCCCTCCTTCTGCTCAGGTGAGCCCAGAGCCCTCAGTCACATGGGCAGCCCTCAGCTGAAAGGGAGCGAGCCTCCAGGACCCCCAGGAGGAACAGGTGAGCCCCCACCCTGCGGGGAGGGGGAGCCCCAAGGGGCAGCTGCAAGGTGGGGGTGCAGCACAGAGAGTGCAGGTGCCCAAGGAGCAGGGCCTCCTGGCTGGTTGGGATGAAGGCATGAGGGGGTTCATGGGCCTTGGGGGAACCTCACAAGCCCGTGGGCAGATGTGGGGGAGCCAGGAGAGCCCAGGGAGGCCCCGGCCGGGGAGAGCATGTCAGGAGGGGAGACCAGGGGCACACCGCCGCGGGCACCTGACCCAGGTGGGTAAAGGGGCCAGGGCAGGAGGCACGTGGGAGCAGCGCCCCGAGGAGGAGAAGCCTGCTAGCAGCAGGCTCAGGGCTCTGCTGGACACACTGAGACCCGGGGGGCTCGGGTCCCCGGTGCCAGGAGGGCTGGGCTGCTGCAGTCTGGCTCAGACCTGCCCACCTTTCTCTCCTGCCAGGACGGTTCCCGTGCTGCCCACAGTGACCCTGCACCCCTCCCCAGACTTTGGGCACCGAGAGCGGCTGTGCGGGCAGGAGGAGCGAGTCCGGGAGGGACCTGGGAGCGGAAGGAGGGCGGTGGGGAGCCTTTCCTTTGTACTGTTTTCTACGCTCAGATAAACTGCAGCATGCTCGCCAAGGCAGGGGGCTGCTCACTACAGGGAGGGTGTCCCCAGGGCCCAGAGTCCATCCCTGCCAAGTGGAGTCCAAGGCTCCCCACCCCTGGCCCTCAGAGAGAAGCTACCATCCTTCCATGGCTTCGAGGACCCCTACCCCGCTGTCGCCCTGTTACCGCGGGACTCTGTGCCCCAGGATGCGGTTTTTCAGCTGCACTCGGAGCTACCGGGGGGTGCGAGGGCTTTGAACACAGTGCCCAGCCCTCCCTCAAACACTGACCTCCTGGGCTCAGCCAGGCATTGGGTTTGGGCAGTCTCAGGGGGCTCCCCACCTCCCTAGTAGCAGCCCCCTCTCTAATGTCATATCGTCCAGCTCCCCTCCCATGTGCTTGGGCCCTGTGGGGACCCTGACTGGCTGGCACCATGCCTTGTCACTGCCAGTGCCCCCCCTGCTCCGCCCAGCAGCCTGGACAGCGCAGCTGGTGCCGTAACCACCCCCTGGCCGTGCCCCACACTCACTCACCTAGAAACCTCACCAGCTGTGGGTCTGGGGCCGCATCTGCTATGGCCTGTCGACACCACATCATGTTCCAGACTAGGAAGAATTTGGGGTGGGCCTCCTTTAGATGCGGAGGCCAACAAAGGCTTCCGAGGTGACATTTGAGCAGAGACAGAAACAAAGAGGGGCGTGGCAGGCAGGAGAGGCTCTAGCAGGGACATAGCACGTGGGAGGCCAGGACCACGGTACCACCCAGAAACGGCAGGAGGCTGCAGAAGCTGGAGTGGCGAGGACAGAGAAAGCTGAGCCTAGGGCCAGGGGCAGGGTCAGCCCACCAGACCTCGGGCAGCACGGTGGCCTGGGATCTGGACTTTGACTTAGGAGCAGACCGCTGGGGCTTCTGAGCAGGGGACAGATGCGACCTGGTGTCTGCTTTGCACGATCTGTGGGTAAGAGCTCAGGGGCCTCGTCCGCCGTCCTCTAAGATGGTGAGGGCAGGTGGAGCTCGGGACGGGCTGCTGGCAGAGGCTAAGCCCTGGGGGGAGCAGTCTGGGGTGGGCGAACAGGTTCCAGGTGCCCCCTGGCAGCCAAGGGCAGAGGGGGTGACGGGTCCGGGGCTCATGGGGACAGAAGTGGGGGGGCCGCTGGCTCAGAGTGAGGGGAAGCCTCGGGGCTGGTTCTCTGGGTGTGAAGGCAGGCCAGGCTCGGCCCGGGGGGCACCGTCAGAGGGGGGCAGTCAGAAGGCGCCCGCCCCGGATTGTTCGGTCGGGGAGGCAGGGGAGGGAGTTGCCATCCAGCATGAGAGCCCAGCAGGACTGGGCACTGGCTCCCTGCCCTGCCCGCCCCAATCTGCCACGGCCCTGCCTGCCACCTCCGACCCGGCTTGGCGGGCTGGAGAGACAGCACCCCTGCCACCCGCCCTCCTGACCTCAGCCTGGGGCTGACTGCACGTGTCCACAAGAGGCCAGCACCTCCGCACACACTCACATTCCCATGCACGCATTCCCAGACACGTACACACGTGTGTGCCCGAACGTACACCCGCCGCACACGCGTTCACATGTAGCACCACTGTCGGGTCTGGGAGACAATGTAACGGGAAAACAAGGCTTCAGGGGAGCAGAGAACCTGACCTGGGCAGACAGCCTCCACCAGACCAACACGGATGCCATTAACCTAAAAATCACAACACCGTCAAAGAGGGAAGGATGGACAGTAATGACACAAAGCCAGAATTAACAAGAATAAAGAAAAGACCATCGGCAGCCCAGTGTGGACGACACAAAAGGAGAAGTAAGAGGAAGGCAGGCGGGGCGGTTATGGGACCAGCCGGAGGACGTCTCCCCGGGACTCAAAACGGGGTGAAAAAGAGAGAATGTGAGTGTCGACATCCACATGGCAGAGGTCCAAGAGGAAAGGGGCAGCGAGTGAATGAGGACTGCAGAGTGCTGAAATACATCGTCTTTAAAAAATTAGAGAAGATCTGAGACCTTACACTGAAAGGCTTAGAGAACCAAATGGGATCAATTTTTAGAGTACACCCTTAGGGGGGCGCCTGGGTGGCTCAGTCGTTAAGCATCTGCCTTTGGCTCAGGTCATGATCCCGGGGTCCTGGGATCGCGGGGTCCTCTCCCTCTGAACCCCCTCCCCTCTCAAAAAAAAATACACCCTTAGATTATTTAATGCAAAACACGACAAAGATAATAGAAATATTCCTTAGGTGTCAGCTCTGTGTTAGAAGACAGGAGCATAATGACCCGAAGTGTTGAAGAAAAAATACTCAAATTTTACATCCAGTGGAATTATCACTGATATCAATGTGGTAAAAACATATTCTGAGTCCACAAATCTCAGAAGGGGAGGCAAGATCCTCTTTGGCAATCCAGCTGGGGGGCTTCTGCAGAAAGGGGAGAATAACCAGAAATTAGACCCAACACACAGGAAACCCCCTAGTCACTGAAAGGCAATGAAATTTGCTACCAACTGAATAATGAAGCCCTCCACATGGACGAATCACTACAATTCTAGATCCTTCCACAGTGGCTGGCATGTGGGAGGGCAGGTTCCTGAAGGCAACCAAAGCACTTGCTTTATTTGGCGGTGGGTGGCATATCAATTTATTAAACTCTTAAAACATACAAACCTTGGTCTTAAGTTGGGAGCAGCCACGAGGAGGAAAAAATTAGAACGTAAAACCTTCAAGATTAGCCAACTAGGTCAAGTTTTCTTTTATGGGAGGGGACAGAACATGTAAACAGAAAAACAAGAGAAACAGCTTAAACATATCCCAATGTAGCAGAAATTACAATAAATATAAGTGAGTTTAACTCATCAAAAGATGAGCTCTCCAAATTGCGTGGAAAGGCAAGACCCAGCTTTCTGTTTCTAGCCGGGACGGAGAAGCCAGGATTGGACCAAGAACCACCAAGGCCAGGAGAACATGTGAGGCAGCTGTGCTGGGCATTGTGATGCGGAAGGATGGAGTTTTCTACAAATGGTGCAGAGACAACTGGAGGTTCGAGGTAAAGGCATTGACCCCCACCCTCATCTCACACCATGCACAAAAACTAATTTGAAAAATGTTATAAACCGAAACATAGGGTCACCTGGGGGGGCTCAGTCAGTGAAGCGTTTGCCTTCGGCTCAGGTCATGATCTCAGGTCCCAGGATCGAGTCCCGCTTCAGACTCCCTGCTCAGCGGGAAGTCTGCTTCTCCCTCTGCCGTTCCTTCGTGCTTATGCTCTCTCTTGCTCTCTCTCTCGCTCTCTTTCATGCTCACTCTCCCTCCCTCTCTTGCAAATAAATAAAATCTTTAAAAAAGTAAACTGAAACATAAAAGCTAAAATAAAACTTTTTGGAAGGAAATACATACGTACATACAACCTTGGGATAAGCAGATTTCTCAGAAAGGATCCATAAGCAATAACCATAGAAGGGAACAGTAATAAATCGCACTTCATCGAAATTAAAAGCTTTTCTTCAACACACCGTTAAGAAAATGAAAAACATAGTCACAGATGGGAAGAAATATTAACTCGTTGAAAGAAAGTGGTATGTAATGAGAAAATATTTCAACACTTCACTGAGCGAGACACACAGTTGGCCCGTGAGCCCCCAGCATGGCGCTCAACACCGCGGGTCTTCAGGGAAGTGAACCAAAGTGCGGGCTCCCCTGGGCGGCTCATCGCCGCCGCTGTGTGACCCACACCCAGGTGTCGCTGAGGGTGGCTGCAGGGGTGCGGGGAGCATGGCAGGGCAGTTTCTCAGCTCCCTACGAAGACAGAAGCACCAGTCTTCTGCAGCCCCGAAATTCTAGGTATTTGCCCCAAGGAAATGAAAACACGTCCACACAAAGACTTGTATGTGCGTGTGCGAAGCAGCATCATCCATCACAGCGCCAACAAGGAACAACCCAAATGTCCATCAGTGAATAAAGACATGGTGGTGTACTGGTGGACATGAGCGATCTCGTACAAACTGTGGAGGAACGGCCATCCACAAAAGAGTGTCTTCCATTTCCACGAGGTTTTAGAACACATGAAGCCTCTATAGCGGTGGCGGTCAGGGCGGTGGTTCCCTGGGGAGCGGAGGGGTGTCCTAGGGTGATGGAAATGCTCCGTCTATTGACTTGGGTGGTATCCACATGTCGTCCACATTGTAAACACTGACATGAGTCAGGTTAGTGGTTAAAGGTGGAAACACCCCCAAAAAGAAGCTGAACGGCTATGTAGGTGTCAGAAAAGGTAGACTTCGAAACCCAGAACTCCGCCCGAGACAAAGGGGGGAGTTACGTAAGGGTAAACGGGGTCGCTTGGCAGGAGGACAGTAGACCCAGACAGAGAGCAGAAGCCGACAAACCCAACAGTGGTCCTCGGTGACACCCGCGGCCGCTTAGGAACCGGGACAGAAAGTAGACAGAAGGCCAGCCATCTGCAGTGCCCAGGCAGACCTCTCCCCTGACCTGAACTGGCTGGCATTTCTAGAACATTCCCCATGGCAAGCCACACCACCCTGTCAAGCGTATGTGGAACGTGGGCTGCGATCAACCACATGCTGGCCCCCAAAGCGTCACGAATGTAAAATCAAACTGTCGGCAGTGGCGCTGAATCGGAGCCCACGCTGAGCCCTGGGAAGCTGGCGAAAGAACAGGAGCATGGTTTATGCGGCAGGCGAGGAGCACACGGTAAGACCCCGGCCTCGCTACCGAGCTGCAGAGGTGCCGGTGACAGCACAGCAAGGGTGAGACGCGGCCGTGTCCTCGCGGGACCCGCGCAGACGAGAAGCCTCAGTGTGGCGGGGGCGGGGGGCAAAGGGACGCAACCGCCAGCCATCCGGCCGCAGTTCCCATGTCCCACCCTGGAGCAATCGCTCCTGGTGGTAGGACCGACAGAAATGCACAGATGCACCCAAACATGCCCCGAGATGTTCACAGCGGGTTCACGCCTAAGAGCCCCAAACTGGAGGTGGCTCAGACTCCCAGCGGCAGGGGGTGGGTAGATAAAGGCCGGTGTGGCCGCCACGGAATCCTGTGGAACGGCCGGAGCCCACTGCCTGGGGCTGCATGTAGCAAATGGACGGAGCGTGGACACAGCTGAGGACAGGATGCTGGCGCGAGCACCACCGTGTGCTCCCCTCTCTGCGAAACCCAAGAACAGGCGAGGCCGGCAGAGGGCCGGGGGCGGGGCTGCGGCACGGCCGGTCTGTGAGGGAAAGCCGGTCAGGCTATGGCCTTGGTCTGCGCACCCATGAGGCAGGCAGGTGTCTGGACACGCCAGCAGGATGTCGAGGAGGGGCCTCCGCCATCATCCCGGGTGTCGTGCAGTGCCGTCCAACACGGCATTTTTATTCAGACTGAAAGGGAAAACTCTAGACTAGAAGAACTGGAGCCTGGGACCATCGTCCAGGTAAGCAGCTAGTGCAGTAGAAACACACACTGGGATCACGAACCTGTCCTGTGAGGGCTCAGGTGGGAAGCAGCTCCTGCTTTGTGGGCCACGAGGTCTCCATGGAAGCACCAGGCCTGCCACCGTGGGCCACGGCCGGCGTGGCCACGTGCAGGCAGAACTCCGTGGGCCGTGGCCAGCGTGGCCTGCTGGCCTGGGTGTCGCTGAGGGTGAGGAACAGCCGGACCTGAACACACTTGTGGAGGGAAAGCAGAGGTGCACAGTGAATTCGGGAACCCGGGTGCCGGCCAGGTCCCATGGCCGAGCAGCATGACAACAGCCCTCCGTGCCCGTCTCCACTCGTACAGGTGACCAGGTTAGGCCACGGAGAGGCCCATGCCATTGAAAGAAGGATCTATGACTTCATTTCCACGCCGGGCCCCCCAGGGCGACAGGGCAGGGTGAGGGGAAGGCCCAGGCCACAGCCTTACTGGGGCTTCCAAGGCAGGGCGGGGCAGACGGCTCAGGACTGCCTGGTTTGGAGCATGGGGCCACCCCGGCACCTGCCGCGGGCGAGTGAGGCAGGGGATAGCGGCTTGGGGAGCGGGAGAGCTGGGCACGCAGGTGGTGGGGCCCGGCTGCAGGTGGGATGGGGGGCACACTCCTGGCGCACTCCAGGCAGATGCCCGCCACTCCTGGGACCCTGCTGCCATGGGGGCCGTCCTTCCCCTTCCTTAAGGCCTGTAAGATGTGCTGACATCACAAGATACTGATCGTAAAAACACGGTTAACACAACGGGAAATGAAAACACGCTCCACACAAAGACCGCACAGCGCTCACGGCCGCTGAGCCAGGGCCCCAGGGACTGGGAGCAAAGACTGTGGAAGGTGACCCAGAAGCCAGTCTGCTCTCCTTCACGAAGCCGCTCGGCAGCTGCTGTTACAAGTTCACAGGTGGACCCAAGGCCACGATGGGTCTCGGTGATGCCGCCCCAGCTGGAGGGTGGCGGGAGGGCCCCACATCACAGGCCTCCCCCCTTACCGCCAGAACGGGCCGGGTGGGCTTTCTGGGGACCGCGGCGTCCCGTGTGTGCAACGGGGTCCTGGGTCCCAGTGTCTCATCCATCAGACTCACTGATAGGACAGCGGACGATCGTGCACTTTGTCACAAGGAAATGTTGCCTCGATGGAAAAAACAAAACCCTGGAGGCAAATACAAGACAGCAGTCGTGGCTCATCTGGTGTGATGGGAACATGGCGCTGAGTTTTCGAGTGTGCATTTTCTGACATGGTGTTTGAGTCTTTAAAAAGCACAACAAAAAACAAAAACAAGAAAGGGACAGGCGAGTCTCCATGCCATAGCCCTGTGGTCTCTCCCGACCCAGGAAAGAACATCCACGCCGGGCCCAGCGCCAGGGACCCTCCCCGCTGCCACGGTGCATCTGGACCCACTCATGTCAGGACCGAGGCGCTGACATCTGAAGTCCAAGTCCGGGCCCCACTGCGGGGGCCTGGTGCCTCCTGCCCACCACGTGGGGACGGCCGCCCCAGACGGCGCCCCGGGAGTCAGCTGCAGGTCACAGTGGGGCCCTGGGGGCTGGAACAGCAACAATGCCTGGACTTAGACACTGGGGTCTCTGCATCCCACTTCTGGACGCAAGGACCGTCCGGGCCTCAGTTGGAGTCCAGTGTCACAGGTGCCCCAGGGGAAGACGAGGGTGTGGCTGCCGCCCTGGTTCTCGTGCACCCCAGTGTCACTGCTGATGGGGACCAGCGGTCGGCCCTGACAGCGACAAGGCCCATCAGATGCTTGGTCACCATCCGCACCCCTCTCCAGACCTGGGCACCTCGCAGGCAGGTAGGTGGGCTCCAGGGTCAGCTCCCACCTGCCATGCGGCACCCCTGAAGTAAGGGGGTCAGGGCAGGTGGGATTCTGGCCATCAATAGGGGTCCAGATTTCTTAGCCTCCTGGGCCTTGTCCTCTATGAATATCGTCCTTACCCCCCCTTCCCTGGCACTCGGGGCCTAAGGGCTCCGAAGAATCAGGGAGAGCCTGGGGGCAGCATCTGCCCACCCCCATGCCACCCCCAGGGGCACAGGGATACTGTTGGGGCCACCTTGTAGAGGATGACACCAGGTCCCCCAGGCCCTCGGGCCTCCTTGGCTGTGCTGGTCCCCCCCCCCATGCCATTTCTCAGGGGACCCAGCCCCAGGGACCACACTCCAGAGGGCCCCGGAGTCAGCCTGGCTGAGCTGTCCTCAGCAACCCCTCACCGTGGCTACCACGTCTGTGCTTTAGAGAGGGTGTCCCAAGGGGCTGTGCACAGAGGGGGACCCACGGGAGGTTGGGGAGAGCCCAGACAAGGGCCCGGAGCCCCTGGTCTGGACACTGCTCTGGGGCCCTCACAAACTACCAGTGACCACCGGGACTCTGGCCGCATCACTAGGCCCCTGCAAATGCTTGCCCAGGACTTCCCAGGGCCGCAGGAAGCCAGATGTCGGACTCCCGGGGGCAGAGGGTGCCCTCGCTGTGGGGCATGTGTCCCTGGACTCCCCTTCAAGCAGGCCCAGGCCCAACACTGTTCCCCAAAACCCCTCAGACACAAGACCTGCGCTGACACTAATTTACCCAGAATAAGACGAAACAAGAAAATCCCTGCTTGGACCCACCCCTGGCAAATGAGATCTGAGAGTCTGCTGCCTGGCCTCTGTGGGGTCCAAGAGAGTCCGCCTGAGGATGCCTCCAGGATCTCCCAGGGACGAGGGGCGTGTGGGGCTGGGGGGCCGAGGTCGTGGCCCTCGGACAGGGGGACTGCTGGGCTGCGTGCTGAGCGGTCAGACGCGCGTCCTGGGCAGGAAGCCAATGTGTCACCATGCTCCAGATAAACTTTAATAAGATGTGGGCGGTGACCCCGCCCTCCAGACAAGAACAGGCGTTTACCCGCTGTCCTTTCGAGCCCGGCCGCCCCCCTGGCAGATCTCAGCAGGGCTGAGCCACAACGGCCCCCCTGGGGGCAGTGGCCTTTCCCAAGGCCGTCTTGCAGTCGACAGAAAATGGGGGGACAATTTGGCAAATGACGTGACCCCACAGAATGCAGGAGTCCCTTGGACGGCCAGGCACAGAGCCCCGGCGAGCTGCCCATAGACGTCGCGGGTGTCCTGCGGGTGCCTGGCCCCTTCCTGCTAAATCATGCCGGCCAGCCAGGGCGGCAGGAAGAGGCCCGCGGTGCCCAGCAGGCAGACGATGATGAACACCCAGAGGAAGATGCGGTCGATGACCATGGCCACGTACTTCCAATCCTCCTTCACCTGCAAACACAGACACACACGGTCACTCCCAGCCTGCCGCCCTTGGGCCTCCAGGCCACGAATACCTTCTAGAACCTGATGCTTCCTGAGGCAGGTTCTCCATGTCCCCTCCTCGACACCAAGGTAACCACGGGAGGCTGGCAGGGAGCCCGAGCGCCAGGGAGGGGGAGACAGGGAGTGCCTTTGGGGATATGGGGTTCTAGGCTGCTGCTTCCTGGGGACGTCTGTTCTCACTGGGAGAGCAGCATGGGAAGGGCACCATGGAGGTCATCCAGTGCACCCCCACTGTGCAGGGGAGGACAATGAGGCCCAGACAGGGGGCGCCCACACCTTGGCTATTCAGGGCCAGGAGCGTCCTGCTGGGGCCCCGTGGTGGTCGGCATCCAGAGAGCAACGGTTGAGGCCCAGCTGCCCTCTGCACCTGCCCACCCTGCTCCAGGGACAGTGCTCACAGGTCAGCTGCCCTCCTGGGTCAACGGGATCTCTTAGCTCCACCCCTGAAGCCCCTCGAGGTAGACACAGACCTGGGCACTGCGGGCCGGCTCCAAGTGGGGCGGAGCTGCCCAAGAGAACAGGGCCCCTCAGCGGGGGTGGGGGAGAGGCCCTGGCTTGAGGTGGGGTCCAGCACACCGAGGCCGGAGGGCGGGCAGTGGGCCACGTCCCCTGTGGTCATCCACCTGAAGAAAGGCGGTGGTACCGTCTGTGTGTCGATGGGGACCCGCGGCACAGTGTGGCTGGGGGCGGCCACGCTCATGCATCCCAGATCCCAGCCCAGGCCGGCTGCTCCACGGTCCTGGCCCCCGACCCCAGCCCTCGGCCTCCCCCAGGGCAGAGGCTCTGCGAGGTGGATGGAGGCCGTGGCCGCAAGCACGTCCTGGGTGGGCAGCCCGTCGGCGCCTGAGGGACAGGAAAGGAGGCGGCCCCCGGGCTCAGGCCCGCCGGGCACTGAGGGCAGGACAGCTGGGGCAGGGGCAGGCTCAGCCCTCCCGTCTGGGGGCGTCATGGGTACAGAGGGCTCTCCACTGCCGTTTCCTGCTCTGATTTCTCAAGTAATCAGAGACACCCTGACGGTTTTAAACCAGACCAAAACCGGAGAGCAAACAAGGTCACTTATAAATAAAAAGTCCCTCCAGGACCCTCCGTTCCAGGAAGGCTGAGAAGCAGCCCGTGGCCTCATCCTCTGCTTTGTCTTTGATCCCCGCTGGGCGCGTCCTCATCCTGAGGATGAAAGGCCTCGTGGACAAAGCTGCCCAGAGCATCCGAGGTCCATCCACGTCAAGGCAGCTTCACTCCCCAGAGCCTGGCGCTGCTCCGAAGCCAGAACCAGGTCGCGGCGGCCCGTCGTGCCACGCGGGCAAATGCCGGGCTGGGCCGCGGCCGGACAGGTGTGCCCGGCTGCCGGAGCCCCTCAGGATTCTGGTCACACTTCTACAGGCATTAGTCACTCCTCAGCGGCGCTCAGACTGCACATCGAGTCAGGAGGCGGCCTGCTATTTCAAGAGCTGGCAGCAGAATGGGGTCCCCAGAAGCAGGTTCTCCCAGGCAGAATGTTCCGGAAACCTCCAGAGTGTCTTCACAGCCTCTTGAGATTCTGCAGGGTGTCCCACTCCCAGGGGTGTGCTGCATGGGTCCAGGGCTCGCTCAGCCGCGGGGCAGGTGGTCCCCGTGTGTATCCGACACACAATTGGGGCCGTGACCCTGGGCTCCCTGGGCTGCCCCCAAGTGACAGCCCCACAGACTGAGCAGGGCGGGCGGCCCCCTCACTTCTGCCCGTGCTCTGACCTGAGGACTCCCCACCAACCTGGGCCCATGTAGACACCCTCCCTCCCTCCCAGCTCTGTGGGGTCCTGAGTGTCAGCCCAGGCTGAGCTGGGACCCCTGGCCCCCGGCGCAACCCCATGACAGGTGGACAAATATCAGCAGAAGGAAAGAGGAACGTTCCCTTCCTGGTGGGGGGTCAGCAGAGCTGGCCAGACCCCAGACCCACTGCCCACCAGCTGGGGGCCTGGGCTCGTCTGGTCACCTCTCCTCCAGGAACTGGGAACAACAGGAGCATCCTGTCTCTGCCCTCAGGGCTGACACTCAGCAGAGGGACTGGGGACACTGTCTGGGCTCCTCTGATCCCTGCTGGTGAGTGAGGAGCCCCCACAGGAGGACCAGCTCCCTGGGGTCCTGGGTCCCCAGGTCCCTGCGGCTGGGCCAGCATTACTGCCCCTACACCCACAACTCCTTCTCCCCAGCTTGACACGCGGGGTGCTGGCCAGAGAGGCAGGGCTGTGCCCCAGACCCCAGTCCACCCCGCCCCATTAGGCCTCCTTTCAGCCCCTCTCGCTACCCCTCCACCCCTGCACCAGGGTCCAGCCACCCCCCGTCCCGCCCCAGAGGCCCACTCCTGGCCCCAGAGGGGACATTCCCGGTGGCCAGCAACAGTGCCCAGACTTCCCGGGCAAGGCCGCCCTGCAGCCTGCGGGCTCCCCGTGTCCTGGGCGACACAGAGGACACCCCCACAGTACACTCTCATTAGCCACCCCAGCGACCGCCTGCCAGAATCAGACGCTCGGGGAAGAGAGAGCAGGACAGGGTGGGGGCTGGGCTGCACGCACCCCAGAGCTTAGTAGCCCGGGTCTGGGCCCGGGTCTTGGGATTTTTCACCGGCCACACCCTCCTCCAGAGAGGAAAGGGAAGCAGACAGAGCCTGTCCGGCCACAGGCAGAAACTTACCGAGAAGTCTGTGTCTTCGGCCTTCAGATGGTCTGCGATGTACTGGACACCCTCGACCGCCCGCGTCAGGGCCGGAGACAGGGGCAGGTGCGGGGGGGGCACTTTGGTGCCCCGGGCTTTGAGCACGGCATTTGGGGATGGCTCCTTCTTGCACCTGCATTTGCACGGCGAGGGCTGGTCTGGGGGCAGGAGCTCGGCGGAGCCGGCCTTCAGAAAGGCAGGGGAGCCGGCCGCAGGGCCCCCAGCCGGGGAAGCGGCATCATCTTGGGGAACGCAGTACTGGATGCTCTGAGACCGGCATCGAACACCAACTTCCGCGGCTTCGGCAGGGCTGGACATGTGCTGGATGCTCAGAGACCGGGCTTTGGTGAGCCCTGGGGCCTGGGTACTGGTGGGTGGGTGGCGGGGGTCAGGCGAGGGGCAGGGGCTCCCGTTCTCAGCCTCTGAGGGCGGCAACGCAGGGACCTGGTCTGAGGGTGACTCGCAGGCTGGCTGGGGCTCGGCTGGCTCGTCCAGGGGGCTGCAGAAGGACGGGGAGCGCGAGGGGCCCCGGCTCTGGGCTCCGCCCACGAAGCTGGGCTCCCCCTCGGGCTCGGGCCAGAAGCCAGGGGCGCTGGCCATCTTATGCATGGACTCGATGAGCCGCCTGCAGTTGTCCTTGACCACAGACGGCCGCTTCATGAAGAGCAAGCGGGGCACCACATCCAGGAAGACCCGGCGCACCCAGGTGGGCATGGTGTGTGTGCGCGGGGAGCGGTGGTGCACATTGAGCACGAAGACTGTGATGACGATGGACAGCGTGACGAAGATCATGGTGAAGAGCAGGTACTCGCCGATGAGCGGGATGACCAGGGAGGTGGAGGGGATGATCTCCGT